CCCTCCCCAGCCCTGACCATCTCCAGCCCTGACCATCCCCAGCCCTGACCATCTCCAGCCCTGACCATCTCCAGCCCTGACCATCTCCAGCCCTGACCATCTCCAGCCCTGACCATCCGCAGCCCTGACCATCCCCAGCCCTGACCATCTCCAGCCCTGACCATCCGCAGCCCTGACCATCCGCAGCCCTGACCATCCCCAGCCCTGACCATCTCCAGCCCTGACCATCTCCAGCCCTGACCATCCGCAGCCCTGACCATCCGCAGCCCTGACCATCACCATCCCTGACCATCCCCAGCCCTGACCCTCCCCAGCCCTGACCATCACCATCCCTGACCCTCCCCAGCCCTGACCATCTCCAGCCCTGACCATCACCAGCCCTGACCATCCCCAGCCCTGACCATCTCCAGCCCTGACCATCTCCAGCCCTGACCATCTCCAGCCCTGACCATCTCCAGCCCTGACCATCTCCAGCCCTGACCATCCCCAGCCCTGACCATCTCCAGCCCTCACCATCTCCAGCCCTGACCATCACCAGCCCTGACCCTCCCCAGCCCTGACCATCTCCAGCCCTGACGATCACCAGCCCAGACCATCTCCAGCCCTGACCATCTCCAGCCCTCACCATCACCAGCCCAGACCATCTCCAGCCCTGACCATCTCCAGCCCTGACCATCTCCAGCACTGACCATCTCCAGCACTGACCATCTCCAGCCCTGACCCTCCCCAGCCCTGACCCTCCCCAGCCCTGACCCTCCCCAGCCCTGACCATCACCAGCCCTGACCATCTCCAGCCCTGACCATCACCAGCCCTGACCATCTCCAGCCCTGACCATCACCAGCCCTGACCATCTCCAGCCCTGACCTCCAGCCCTGACCTCCAGCCCTGACCATCCCCAGCCCTGACCATCCCCAGCCCTGACCTCCAGCCCTGACCTCCAGCCCTGACCATCTCCAGCCCTGACCCTCCCCAGCCCTGACCATCCCCAGCCCTGACCTCCAGCCCTGACCATCTCCAGCCCTGACCAACACCAGCCCTGACCATCACCAGCCCTGACCATCACCAGCCCTGACCATCTCCAGCCCTGACCATCTCCAGCCCTGACCATCTCCAGCCCTGACCTTCCCCAGCCCTGACCATCACCAGCCCTGACCATCTCCAGCCCTGACCCTCCCCAGCCCTGACCCTCCCCAGCCCTGACCATCTCCAGCCCTGACCAACACCAGCCCTGACCCTCCCCAGCCCTGACCATCACCAGCCCTGACCATCTCCAGCCCTGACCATCTCCAGCCCTGACCATCTCCAGCCCTGACCATCTCCAGCCCTGACCATCTCCAGCCCTGACCATCTCCAGCCCTGACCATCTCCAGCCCTGACCATCTCCAGCCCTGACCATCTCCAGCCCTGACCATCACCAGCCCTGACCATCACCAGCCCTGACCATCACCAGCCCTGACCATCTCCAGCCCTGACCATCTCCAGCCCTGACCATCTCCAGCCCTGACCCTCCCCAGCCCTGACCATCCCCAGCAATGACCATCACCAGCCCTGACCATCTCCAGCCCTGACCATCACCAGCCCTGACCATCTCCAGCCCTGACCATCACCAGCCCTGACCATCTCCAGCCCTGACCTCCAGCCCTGACCTCCAGCCCTGACCATCCCCAGCCCTGACCATCCCCAGCCCTGACCTCCAGCCCTGACCTCCAGCCCTGACCATCTCCAGCCCTGACCCTCCCCAGCCCTGACCATCCCCAGCCCTGACCTCCAGCCCTGACCATCTCCAGCCCTGACCAACACCAGCCCTGACCATCACCAGCCCTGACCATCACCAGCCCTGACCATCTCCAGCCCTGACCATCTCCAGCCCTGACCATCTCCAGCCCTGACCTTCCCCAGCCCTGACCATCACCAGCCCTGACCATCTCCAGCCCTGACCCTCCCCAGCCCTGACCCTCCCCAGCCCTGACCATCTCCAGCCCTGACCAACACCAGCCCTGACCCTCCCCAGCCCTGACCATCACCAGCCCTGACCATCTCCAGCCCTGACCATCTCCAGCCCTGACCATCTCCAGCCCTGACCATCTCCAGCCCTGACCATCTCCAGCCCTGACCATCACCAGCCCTGACCATCTCCAGCCCTGACCATCTCCAGCCCTGACCATCACCAGCCCTGACCATCACCAGCCCTGACCATCTCCAGCCCTGACCATCTCCAGCCCTGACCATCTCCAGCCCTGACCATCTCCAGCCCTGACCATCACCAGCCCTGACCATCTCCAGCCCTGACCATCTCCAGCCCTGACCATCTCCAGCCCTGACCATCACCAGCCCTGACCATCTCCAGCCCTGACCATCACCAGCCCTGACCAACACCAGCCCTGACCATCACCAGCCCTGACCATCTCCAGCCCTGACCATCTCCAGCCCTGACCATCACCAGCCCTGACCATCTCCAGCCCTGACCATCTCCAGCCCTGACCATCCCCAGCCCTGACCATCTCCAGCCCTGACCATCTCCAGCCCTGACCATCTCCAGCCCTGACCATCACCAGCCCTGACCATCTCCAGCCCTGACCATCACCAGCCCTGACCAACACCAGCCCTGACCATCACCAGCCCTGACCATCTCCAGCCCTGACCATCTCCAGCCCTGACCATCTCCAGCCCTGACCATCACCAGCCCTGACCATCTCCAGCCCTGACCATCTCCAGCCCTGACCATCCCAGCCCTGACCATCTCCAGCCCTGACCATCTCCAGCCCTGACCTCCAGCCCTGACCTCCAGCCCTGACCATCCCCAGCCCTGACCTCCAGCCCTGACCTCCAGCCCTGACCATCTCCAGCCCTGACCATCTCCAGCCCTGACCATCCCCAGCCCTGACCATCTCCAGCCCTGACCCTCCCCAGCCCTGACCATCACCAGCCCTGACCATCACCAGCCCTGACCATCACCAGCCCTGACCATCTCCAGCCCTGACCATCACCAGCCCTGACCATCTCCAGCCCTGACCCTCCCCAGCCCTGACCATCTCCAGCCCTGACCATCTCCAGCCCTGACCCTCCCCAGCCCTGACCATCTCCAGCCCTGACCCTCCCCAGCCCTGACCCTCCCCAGCCCTGACCATCTCCAGCCCTGACCATCTCCAGCCCTGACCATCTCCAGCCCTGACCATCTCCAGCCCTGACCATCTCCAGCCCTGACCATCTCCAGCCCTGACCATCTCCAGCCCTGACCATCACCAGCCCTGACCTCCAGCCCTGACCATCTCCAGCCCTGATCATCATCAGCCCTGATCTCCAGCCCTGACCATCTCCAGCCGTGATCTCCAGCCCTGACCATCTCCAGCCCTGACCATCTCCAGCCCTGACCATCTCCAGCCCTGATCATCATCAGCCCTGATCTCCAGCCCTGACCATCTCCAGCCCTGACCATCTCCAGCCCTGACCATCTCCAGCCCTGACCATCCCCAGCCCTGACCCCCCCACCCTGACCCTCCCAGCCCTGACCATCACCAGCCCTGACCATCACCAGCCCTGACCATCTCCAGCCCTGACCATCTCCAGCCCTGACCCCCCCAGCCCTGACCCTCCCAGCCCTGACCCTCCCCAGCCCTGACCATCACCAGCCCTGACCATCACCAGCCCTGACGATCCCCAGCCCTGACCATCACCAGCCCAGACCATCTCCAGCCCTGACCATCTCCAGCCCTGACCATCTCCATCCCTGACCCTCTCCAGCCCTGACCATCTCCAGCCCTGACCATCACCAGCCCTGACCCTCCCCAGCCCTGACCCTCCCCAGCCCTGACCATCTCCAGCCCTGACCATCTCCAGCCCTGACCATCTCCAGCCCTGATCATCTCCAGCCCTGACCATCTCCAGCCCTGACCATCTCCAGCCCTGACCATCTCCAGCCCTGACCATCACCAGCCCAGACCATCTCCAGCCCTCACCATCTCCACCTCACCATCTCCAGCCCTGACCATCTCCAGCCCTGACCATCTCCACCTCACCATCTCCAGCCCTGACCATCTCCAGCCCTGACCATCCCCAGCCCTGACCATCTCCAGCCCTGACCATCACCAGCCCTGACCATCTCCAGCCCTGACCATCCCCAGCCCTGACCATCCCCAGCCCTGACCATCTCCAGCCCTGACCATCTCCAGCCCTGACCATCTCCAGCCCTGACCATCACCAGCCCTGACCATCTCCAGCCCTGACCATCTCCAGCCCTGACCATCTCCAGCCCTGACCATCTCCAGCCCTGACCCTCCCCAGCCCTGATCTCCAGCCCTGATCTCCAGCCCTGATCTCCAGCCCTGACCATCCCCAGCCCAGACCATCCCCAGCCCAGACCATCCCCAGCCCAGACCATCCCCAGCCCAGACCATCTTCAGCCCTGACCATCTTCAGCCCTGACCATCTCCAGCCCTGACCATCTCCAGCCCTGACCATCCCCAGCCAAGACCATCTCCAGCCCTGACCATCTCCAGCCCTGACCCTCTCCAGCCCTGACCTTCCCCAGCCCTGACCATCCCCAGCCCAGACCATCCCCAGCCCAGACCATCCCCAGCCCAGACCATCTCCAGCCCAGATCAGCTCCAGCCCTGACCATACTTCTCCAGTCCTGACTATCTCCAGCTCTGACCATCCAGCTCCAGCCCTGACCATCCAGTCCTGACCATCCTACCCTGACGCTCCAGCCCTGACCATCCAACCCTGACCATCCAGCTCCAGCACTGACCGTCTATCTCCTGTACTGACTGTCCATCTCCTGCACTGACTGTACCCCCTGTTAAGGTTATTATTTGCTGTACCAGCTGGCACCAAGCTGGAAGCAGCACGTTCTCCTGGTGGCTGGAGCCCATCTGTGGATGAAGCAGATACCATTGACTGAATGAGCACTTTATTCACTGAGGCAGCAGCTGAGGTAGCCACAACCGGCGATGAGGTGTCCGCTCCGGGGGCTCCTCCACCCCTGACCACTGTCGGGGTGGAGGAGCCGATTTCAGCACCAGTCCCAGCCTGGGCCAGAGCCACTGCAGCGCAGGCCACCACCCCATGGGTGTCAGTACAGCCGCTCGCATACTCCCTGTCGTCTAGCCGGCAGAGCATGAGGAGTTACTCTGAGTCAGTGCCGCGCGGGGTCAAAACCGAGAAGCTGACATTCACCCATCAAGCGGGTCAGTGCTGCCGACCTGTTCACAGTGAGTATGCTGACCACTCTACGGTCACCCACCAGGGGATCTACTACCCTCCACTCCAGAGCAAAACTGGCATAGCCAGGGAGGTCTACAAGTGGCTCCAGAGTCTGGATCTGAGTGTGGAATACACAAACATCAGGAGGTAACTACCAGCAATAATAATAATATTTATGTTTACTAGAGTTCCTTTCATGTCAGGGGGATGTCTCAAAGGTCTTCACAACATTTACTTATAATGCAACATGTGCAGCAGCCCTGATACCAGTTACCAGTCAGCCCGGGTCAGTTGGTTGCATCCTTGGTCTCTGACAGAAGGTTGTGGGTTCAAGCTCCCATGGTTTAGGCTGGGACCCCAGTTCAGTGCTGGAGAAATGTTGGAGGTAGCCTCTTTCAGATGAGATGTTAAACTGAGATTCCATCTGCCTGTTCAGGTGGACATTAAAAATCCTATAGCATTGTTTGGAAAGAGAAGTGAGTTTCTCCTGGTGTGCTGAACAACAATCCCCCAATAGCATTGGTCATTCGCCTAATGGCTGTTTATGGGAAAATTGTTGGACATAAATTGGCTGCCGTGCTCTCTTACATAAGTGCAACACTTTGCAGTATATCCTGTGAACTGCTTTCCTCCCTGTGAAAGGTGTTATATCAAATGTGAGGATTAGTATTAAATTCTGTGAAGTGCTTTTTGCAAATGTATATCTTAATACTGTATCTAAAATTATATCATAATTTCAATGCAAATGTGTTTCAGGGATTTTTCCAATGGCTTTCTTGTGGCTGAAATCTTCTCCCGGTACTTTACTGATGCCTCTACGCGTCTTGTCACCAATGGGGTATCATTAACCAGAAAGATGAATAACTGGTACCATCTGGAAAACGTATGTAAGCCAATTGGAGGGTTATATTTTTTACATCTAGGCACGTCTGTCAAATTAACAAATACCTACTCCACAGATCTAAAATATAGTTCAATATAACTTAAAATTGGTGTATGTTGGGGGAAAAGTAAGGAGCAGACTTATACCCTGGAGACTGGAAGAGCAGTGTGACCTCAGAGCATAAAGTGCAAACAGATTTTGTTTTTTATCAATCCATTGAATATAAAAGTAAGGCAGTGATGATGAATCTGTATTAGACATTGGTTAAGAACATAATTGGAATATTGTGTGGCAGTTTAGACACCACATTGTAGAAAGGATATTTGAGTTATGAAAGAGGATGCAGAGTAGATTAACAGGGATGATACAGGAGATGAAAGGATAATAATAATAATAATCCTTGCATTTGATATAGCACTTTTCACGTCGGGAGGACGTCCCAAAGCGCTTCACAGAACACACTGTAAAGTGAATTGACTGTATATTTGTGGGCGAACGCGGCAGCCAATTGCACACAGCAATGTCCCACAAACAGTTGTAGATTGAAAATGACCAATTTATTATTGTTTTGGGCTTTGGAGGGATTATTATTATTAGGCGCTTGGAGTAAGGAAACTTGCCCAAGGTTTCGCCCTGCCTGGAATTGAACTCAGGTCTCCTACTTGCAAAGCGAGTGCTCTAACCACTGAGCTACAGGACTCCAGGATATAGTTACAGGAGCTACAGGATATAGTTATTAGGAGATGCTGAAGAGGTTAGGACTCTCCCTGTTGGAACAGAGAAAGCTGAAGTGAATTGTTAGTGCCGTTTAAGATAATTAAAGGGTTTAAGATAATTCATTGCGAAAAGGAGGTTGCCTCTCCATTGGTAAGGGATATGAAGACAGGAGGGTGTGACTACAAGATTGTGACTACATAGTTACACAGAGTGATATGACACAGAGACAGACCATTTGTCCAATTTAGTCCATGCTAGTATGAGGATAAAAAGAGAGAAGTGGAAGTAATGGAACTTCTCCCAGAGGCTTGCTAGAAATTGGAATGATTTGGTAGGGGAGCGGTTAGATCAGCATTGATCACAGCATTCAAAAGAGATTTGGCCAGACGCACGCAGAGGAAGGCCATTAGAGGGTATAGGAAAATAGCAGAGAATTGGTATTAGGATAGGTGGCCTCTTGGAGGAGCAAACATTTCGCTCACAAAATATACCGTCTATTATATATATATATTTATATATATTTACAATATATTCTGTGAAGTGCTTTGAGATGTTTCAATGATGTGATAAGGATTATTATACATCAAATGCAAGGATTAATATTGTTATTGACACATAAAAATGGGCCAAATGGTTTCACAATTAAACTGCAGGACCACATTAGAAATTAAGTTTAATTTGTTGACTAGTTTAGCAAATTGTGCGTTATATTTAATTGTGCATTGTATTTACAGGTTGGACTAATCACGTGCATACAACAACAACAATATTACATTTGTATAATGCTTTTCACGTCGGGAGGACGTCCCAAGGCACTGGATCCGAGCTGGGGTCAGGGAAGGAGAAGGAGGGTGGGAGGGGAAGGGGAGTGACCAATGGCATGGTCGAAGAGGAGGGTTTCAAGGTGGGACTTGAAGGAGGCTAAGGAGGGGGCGAGGCAGAGTGATTGGGGGATGGAATTCCAGAGGTTGGGGGCAGAGTGGCTGAAGGCTCTCCCGCCAATTGGTGGGGCGGGTGGGTCGGGGGACGTGGAGCAGGTCAGAGCCGGCTGAGCGGAGGGAACGGGAGGGTTGGTAAGAGGTTAGGAGGTCACAGAGGTAGGGTGGGGCGAGTCCATGGAGGGCTTTGCAGGTGAGGACCAGGATCTTGAACTGGATCCTCTGAAGGATAGGGAGCCAATGGAGTCGGGCGAGAATGGGGGAGATGGAGTCAGGAGTTTCATGCGGGAGAGAACACGGGCTGCAGAGTTCTGGATTATCTGCAGTCTGTGGAGGGAGGAGTTGGGAAGGCCGACAAGCAGGACATTTGCATAGTCGAGCCTGGAGATGATGAAGGCATGAACAAGAGTTTCAGTGGCCTGAGGGGTGAGGTAGTGGCGGAATCAGGTGATGTTACGGAGGTGAGGGAAGGCAGAGCGGGTCATGGGTTGGATGTGGGGAGGAAAAGACAGTTGAGGGTCGAAAAAGACACCCAGGTTCATGACTGGCGGTGAGTTGAAGTGTGCAACCATGGAGGTTGATGCTGCCAGGGCCTGAGGTGCTGAGGCGCTGGCGTGAGCCAATCAGGAGGGCCTCAGTCTTGTTCACATTCAACTGTAGGAAATTTGCCCTCATCCAGGACTTGATGTCCGACATGTGCACAGTGGGAATTATTTGATTAAAAACAAATGACAATCATTATAGATGATTCTATAATCCTTTACATTAGTTAATTACGCAATTAAAGGTACGCAGATGCTCTAAAATTTCACACAACTATCTCTGGGATGCAAAGGGAAATGTTGCAGGATTCTATTTCAGATGTTGGGTAGAGACCATGATAAATCACAGGTATGCTTGACATGTAGAACAGGCTTGATGGGTTGAATGACATTTTGTCATTCCATGCTCTTATTTCTTTTTATGCCATCATTCAGAATGCATAGGCTGTGATAAAAGCAAATATAACCTCTTTTAATTTTCGCGGTTGTTTTAAGAAGTAATGAGAGCTGAAACACCATATAAAAAATGTGTGAAATGAACTGTTCAAGTCTAGAGTTTATTAACAGATTATTCAAATATTCAAAGGATATGTGCAGAATAGATTTGTCTGTCGTATTATTGTTATCATACTAATGTTTTTGAAAGTGTATCAATGAAGATAGGTTATTACTAAAATAAATTGGGTTTGGTAGTAGTTACAACCAGTAATTTCTGTAGATGATGAGTTAAAGAAGTGGGATATGAGGGCAGAATAGGGTATGAGCACAGAGTGGGGATATGGTTTCTTGCTTGTGATGGACCAGTGAGCATGAATACTCAAGGCTCCAATGTATTGGAATGACATTTTCAGAAGTAAAGTGATATATTGCCTTAGAATGTATTGACCAACACCTGCTGAATTATAATAATAATAATGCTTGCATTTGATATAGCACTTTTCATGTCTTTTAGATGTCTCAAAGTGCTTCATAGAATATATTGTAAAGTAAAGTGAATTTACTGTATATTTGTGGGTGAAACAATTATGAAGTTGCTTCAGCGTGCTGGTTTGGGGCAATATGAAAATATGTATTCCACAGGAGTGATCCAGTTGAATTTTTCGCTAACCCAAGGACAGAGTCAAATTTGGGATCTCTTGCAGTCTCAGCACATACTCCAAAACAATACAATAATAAATTGGTCATTTTCAATCCACGACTGTTTGTGAGACACTGCTGTGCACAATTGACTGCCACGTTTCGCCCACAACTATACAGTCAATTCACTTTACAGTCTATTCTGTGAAGCACTTTGAGACGTCTAGAAGACGTGAAAAGCGCTATGTCAAATGCAACGATTATTATTATTATTATTTATATTGCATCAGTGATAAATGGCCAATGTTTTTCTTTGTTTGAATGTTTTTAAATCCTAAATTTACACTTTAAATGAGATGAACATGTAAACAGATGTCTCAGATGTCTGAACATGGCTGAAATTCAACGAATAAAATCAACATTACAGACAATTCAAAATAAGAAGGCAACATCAATTCAAAAATGTTTACCAGACAATATAAGACACACTTTAAATATTATAAGGGTAATGAATACTTGCACCTACCTCTAACTGGACAGGCAACTATTTGTTTTGGAAGTTTGAGTGTTTAGTCTTTTGTCAGAATGGGTGGATTATTGTATCATATGTTTCATTTAAAGTTTTCTTTTCCTTTCCAAGTTCTTCAAAAGGAGAAACTTGAGCTTGCCCAGGAATCTAATTAATGGCACTGTTCATCGTTGGCCTGGAGCAGCAGAATCGTTAATACAGTACATTCATAATATGCTAACAAACAGAAAGTGAGTACTCATGCATCATTTCCTATTAGTCAGTTTGTGACATCTCCCATCTCTTACCACTATTGGGTGGTTTATAATGTATTCTTATGATAATGACTGCTCCATTTTTACTTCTTAGTTCTACCCACAAGGATTCTCTCTTAGTATTACTCTCTTCAAAATCCTTGCGCTCTATCACTGTAAGGGAGTGTCAGATTAATATCTCCACCTCTCCATCCGATCTCCCTTCACTATCAATTCTGAAAATGCTACACTCAGGAATGTTTAGTTCCAATCCTAACCATCCTGAAGCCACATTTCTGTTGACAGTATTACATCTTATCTCCCTTTCCCAATTAGGACTTCACTTTCATCCATTTTATTTCTAACTGTGCATTTGTATATAAACATTTTATATCCTGCTCTGCTTTTTTTTCTGTTCCCCTTTCCTGCTCCCTCTATTATATTTTCTCCTTATTTTTTCCTTACTTCCGTATTCTCTGATTTTCTGTCTTGCTTTTTCCAATCCCCATCTCCCACATCTTATCTACAAGTTGAAATCTTTCCCCATTGCCTATTTAGATTTTCTGCAAATACATTTGCTCCCATTTTGTCAAGGAGTAAGTCATCCCATCTGTACTTCTGACCTTGTCCCAGAACGTGCCCCAATGTGATACAAATCTAAACCTACTCCCCTGCACTACTTTATCAGCCACATATTTATTTCCCTAATCTAAATGTTTTGTTTGTTTTCAGAGCAAAACTCATCATGGATGATGAAACAGATTTTATGGACAGTAGCTACCAAAACAAATTGCCAGCTGTTGCTCGGTCGACTGCTGCCCACGCTATTAGAAGCAACTATAGGAGCAGCGAGATGGCCCTTGAACCTGACACTTTTAAGATTAAGCAGAAAACACTGGGTATTATCAACGTACATATGCAACACAGGCAAACAGATAAAATGTCCAAATCAAGTAAGTAAATACAACTTTAAAAAACGTCCTGTCAAATCCACTCAGTAAATTATCCTATACTTATGATGAATTAAGTCATTCACTTCATGACTGTTTCTGGGGCATTGCTGTGCACCAATTACCTGCTCGCAAAACACAGTCACTACATTTTAGATACAGTATGTCTTGTGCTGCGCTTTGGGGTGTCCTCCCGACGTGAAAGGTGCGATACCAAATGTAAGAATTATTATTGTTTCTGTTTTAGATAGATATCCTGATATTCAGAGAACCATTCAATGTATAGTAGACAATAAATCGAATACATTTGTTTTGGATTAAAAACATTGAAGTGAGAAAGGTGCATTGGAAAAGGAAAAGAGGGTGTAGTCCTTTAGCTCAGTGGTTAGAGCACTTACCTCGCAAGCGAGAGGACCTGGGTTCGATTCCCGGCAGGGCGAAACGTTGGGCAATTTTTGTTTCTCCACATGCCTCTGTTAACCTAGCAGTAAGTAGGAACCCGGTTGTTAGTCGATTGGCATATTGCTTTTCTGGGGGTAGTAATTCCTTCCAAATAAATAAAAATAATTTTGTCACTCAATCCACCAGTTGCTGTGTTTCGCCCACAAAAGTCAATTCATTTTACAGTATATTCTGTGAAGTGCTTTGAGAAATCTTGAACACATGATAAGGTGCTATATCAAATGCAAAGATTATTATTATTACTTGAGCAGGAGTTGGTAGAGTAGAGAAAGAGGCCAAGGAACTAGGGTTACATTGCAGGAATTTTGTAAAAGAACATACAGTCTTCACCTAGGTAGAATTTTCTACCTCAAGGTGCTTATTTATTTGTTTGGAAATTCACTTTAAATAAAATCAATCTAAAACTAATATTAGAAACATCACTGCGGTAGAAATTGATAGCGTGTGTAGTGTTTGACTGACATTGACGCATATAAAATTATGTTTTTTCTCCTAATATTGACAAAAGAATTAAGATGAATGCTTAAACATTTTGAAACTGTGGTATGTACATTTTTGTTTTTTTAATATATTATTCTATTCATTGTATTGTTTTTATTTTTAGAGCGTTTTCATAAAAAGCCCACTCTGGGAGAACAAGCTGTGAGACTTGCCCTCCCAGCACACAGGTACGAGGACATGAGTGCCAAGAAGACAGAGAAATCAGGAACTATTCCACGTAAGTGCAAAGTTTCTTTCCTATTTTACCAATAATGAATACTATAATAAGAAGAATTATAATAAAATAATAATCTCCCACAAAATACACAATCAGTTCACTTGACATTACATCTGTGAAGCGCTGTGAGATGTCTCAACAACCTGATGAGGCACTATGAAATGCAAGGATTTTTATTATCATTGTTATTGTTATTGTGAAATACTAATTATTATTATTTCTTTCCTAGTTCTACCTCAGCTTGAACTACTCTTTTGATTGATTTGATTCTTATAAACAACTACCATCCAAATTAAGACTAAATCCAAAACATTTCCACAATTCTTCATGACACTAAATTTTAGACCAAGCAAACTTAAAAGTTAAGAATAGATAGAATTTTGATCTTAGGAAGTGTTTCAATGTTTTACTTTTGGAATTCTAAATTGAGCAAATTTAGTAAATTGCAGTATGTTGTTCTGTAATCGTATTTGCCAATATGTTCGGCTAAAAGTATTTCCAGCTGGTCCAATTTATTTTCTCACCAATCTGAAACGCTGGTCTCTATAGGCTTAAATATTACTTCTTTGATGGTGTGGTGCTAACGCCCCTCCCAATCCCACTCTCAATGTTATTGCTAGCAATTTGCATCCCTCACCTTCAAATCTGTTTTGCTAGTTCTTCAGTAAATTGCTGTGGATGAAGAAAACCCTTCAGCCCCTTTGATCTCATCTCTCCAGAATACACACTGTATTGCCTTCCCTTCACAGCATCAAGATTTGAAATAAATCTAGTGTTGTGACCTCAACCACCCTTTCTGGCAACCTGTTCCAGTCATTAATCAGCCCTTGGGGAAAGAACAACCGGTGTCTATCATGAAATTGTCCTTTACCACTCTAAATGTATTGTTCAGGATGATAGCAGTTATTCTCATTTTATCTGGATTAATATGCAATGTTTTGTTTTCTAGGTACAGAATTGCATACTTCAGATATTCGAAGTAAAATCAATGTTCAGTTTAAGGAAGTCAGTGTGAAGCAGATTGTTAGACATTCCATTCCAAGTGTGCAACTTAGTACAGCGTTGTTTTAAATAATTAAAGAGGGTTTGGAAATGGAGTCTGTAAGCTCCATTTTCAGTTAGTAATACAATGGGTATTTTGTTATTTTCTTTTAAAATGAATAATATACAAATCACCAAGGAATAATCATAAATTCTGTTATTACATTGCTATAATTTCAATTAGTAAATGTGTTGTCTAACTATAAACTGATAAGTCTTTGACCGAAATGTGATGCAGTAACTATTATTTGGGAATAAACCAAATTATTTGTATGACTGTCTACTGTCATTTGTAAAGAATTTTCAGCCTGAATGTCTTCATTTGTTTGCTTCAAATATTATTTCTTCTTCATATGTATTAGGAATAGAAATAAGGGCAAACAAATTGAAAAGCATGAAAAAAAACTGTCCGATTTAAAAGACTTTTCAGTTTGAACAAGTGTGGCCTTCTCTTACCATGAAACTTCCTCTTCTTTGCTGTACATCAGTGCCACCCCATCCACTGTTTCTGCATCTGATCCAGAAACTGAAGGTAACGCTTCAGAATAAAATCTGATACAGCTGAGAAGCAGATGATTCCCTGACTAAGATGGTGCAACAAAGGCGCATTTGTTTTCCTCCTATGTGCTCTGATGGCAATTCCTTCAGAGGAATTTACGGGCATTTCACCCACAAAATATAGTCAATACACTTTACAATATATTCTGTGAAGTGCTTTGAGACATCTCTAAGATATGATAAGGCACTATATCAAAAACAAAAGGTTATTAGTATTATATTATCGTGGAAGCTCAGCAACATTATTAACATACAAAATGGCTAATGGCTATTCCAGAAGTAAAAAGAAAACAAAACTTGGACAACAAAAAAAAATTCCACCACATTCACCATATTCCAGAAACCTTGCACTGAAACAAAAGTAGTGGGGAGAAAACTCCCAAACCTTAACATTGACATTTTTGATTTTTCACCAATCTGGTGCTTATCAGTCAGAGGCAAACTTCAAATATCTCACTCTTTTTCTGAATACAAGATACCATTTGCTCTTCTCTAGTCCTCAGTTAACAGCTACTGTATTTATGAAGATCGTAAAACATTAAACACAGCCTCATTATGTATGAATATTTTAAGAGGGCAAATGAAATGCAGATTTTAGATGTCAGTAATGCTGGCTATGTTTGGAATTATAGACGTTTTAAAGATCAACAGATAGATCCTTTAAAATAAACTCCAAAGTGATATACAAGTTAGAGAAATGCCAATTATGTTAAATAGATTTTCATATCTTCCAGGCAATCAGGCCAGGCAGAATATAATAGTTATAATGCTAGCATTTGAGATAGCGCCTTATCATGTCGTTGAAACGTCTCACAGAATATATTGTAAAGTAGATTGACTGTGTGGGCGAAATGTATCAGCCAATTATCTATTAATATCACCTATAATCATAATTACCCATTAATATTACCTAGAATTGTAATTATAATTACCTATTAATATTAATAGTACCTAGAATTATCATATAATTACCTATTAGTATTAATATCACCTGGAATTCTCAAGGAAATTTTTTCTATCCTTCCTCTGTCTTTATCACTTTCGAAGTTCTCTACTGGATGTTTAATAAACCTATAATTACTAACATAGCCAATGCAGGTTGACATTTAAATCTGTTTTTCTATTACCCTCTTAAATCTGTAATCATATTAGCAGATACTTTCAGCCAAAAATATTTCCAGTTTCTTTTTCCACCAATAAAAAAACTCTGGTCTCAGTAGATTTAAATATTTTTCTGACGGTGAAGTGTTAATGTGTTTACCCCACTCCCCAACCCCACTCCCAATTTTACTGCCGGCAATCTGCATCCGAAACCTTCAACAACAAATTACATTTGTATAGCACCTTGCATGGAGGACGTTCCACCTTAATTGGTTTGTAGAGAGGTAAGCAGCTACTGTTCAAGCTCTGCACCTCCAATAGTGGAACCATCACTCAATGGGAAGAGATGTGTGTCCGAAATGCAGGAAGATGGTAACAATGCTCTCACATATTTCATGCTGAACTGTGTTGCCCACCAGGAAGCTCACAGGTAGTTTCTGGTACATGCCATCCACCTAGTAAGGGCTCAAGCCCGAGTTTGTTGGATGTTAAATGACAACTCGTGACAGTGATCCTGGGTGAGTGGGGGGGAGTGGGGTTGGGTGGGGAAGGAGGAAGGTAAGTGTGGTTTCCTTGGAGCTGAACTAGGTGACATGCTTGGCAACGGAATGTCAAGATCGAGTCAACCCTCTTAGGTGGTTTCGGGGTAGACCAGTTCTTGAGGCAGGCAGGCTTGCAGTACTTCAGGGAAGAGCTGATGACAGCACAGCCAGCCTGGCTCATTGGATTTAGATTTAGAAGGGCAGGCTAACCATTGGGGGCAGGGATTCTTTGCATGAACTCCTGTTAACCCTGCAAACCAAAGCCCGAATGGGCAGGGTGGTCCCATTAGAGAAGAAGCAGGAAAGCTTGCCAGAGAGTGCTTTCAATAGCAAGCTGTATGATTTTAGCTGGTTGGACTTCAGCAATTTTCCAAAACAAACTCTGGGTCCCCAAGCCTTGGCTCTTGCCAACCTGTGCCTATTACTCTCCAGATTAGGTAAACAGGATGCATCCCTCCAGGGAGAGTGCACACATTCAATTTCAATAAATATCTTGGGAATTGCTATGAAATGTTGTATGCATGGAGATCTCAGTTTTGTTTGGATACTCAAGCATGGTGATGGGTTTCTGCCTGTCAGACCCCTGGATGACCAAAAATAAAAATCCGTAATACTTTTAAGTTAAGTTCACTTCCTTTTAAATTTATATATTTTTTGCATCGTCTCAGGAAAATGACTGAAAATTGTCCCTGAAATAATCCAGATGCGAGGATTTGACCAGCACTAACTCAATATATGCAGCCCCGTCAGTAAGATTACCAGAATTGGAGAAAATCATCTTCCAAGTTAAGATTTTGCATTGTATTAAAATTTTAATTGAATAGTCTTTAAGACCCTGAGAAATGTTATTCCTCTGCCCCCTGCAGAAACGTATAACAACAACAACAACAAGATTCCATTTATAGAGTGCCTTTCACATCGGGAGGATGTCCCAAGGGTCAGGACCCGAGCAGGGGGGAAATGGTGAGGGGAGGGAAGGGAGGGAGCGAGGAGTGGTAGAGAGTCGAGAGGGAGCTGAAGGCACGGTCAAAGAGAAAGGTCTTGAGACCGGCCTTGAAGGAGGAAAGGGAGGAAGCGGCGAAGGCACTGGGGGATAGAGTTCCAGAGCCTTGGGGCTGAGAGGCTGAATGCCCGGCCACCGATGGTAGGACGGTTGGGGTGGGAGATGTGGAGCAGACCGGAGCAAGAGGAACGGAGGGTACGGGCAGGTAAGTAGGGGGATAGTAGATCGGAGAGGTACGAGGGAGCAAGGCCGTGTATGGCCTTGTAGGTGAGGATGAGGATCTTGAATTCGATCCTCTGGGGGATGGGGAGCCAGTGGAGGCGAGCGAGGGTGAGAGTGATGTGGTTGCGAAGCCTGGTGCGGGACAATACACGAGCTGCAGAGTTCTGAATGACCTGCAGCTTGTGGAGGGAGGTGCCGGGAAGGCCGGCGAGGAGAGAGTTCGCATAGTCCAGCCTTGAGGTGATAAAGGCGTGGACCAGAGTTTCAGCAGCGTGAGGGGTGAGGTAGTGCCGTAGTCTGGCGATGTTTCGGAGGTGATGGAAGGCGATGCCAGTTGTGGCGCGGATATGAGGAAGAAAGGACAGCTCAGGCTGTCAGGACAACGGTGGTCGTGGAGTTGAGGGTAGAGGAGGAAAGGTAGAGTTGGGTGTCATCTGCATACATGTGGAGGTGGGGAGGGGGGTGGAGGTTGTGAGAGGGGTGGAAGTGGTGAAGGAGATGAAATGGTGATCGGAGACGTCCTTGTCGGTAATGGTGACATCCGAGACACTGAGGCCCCGGGTGATCACTAAATCAAGTGGGTGGCCGTGACTGTGAGTGGCAGAGTTGATGTGGAGGGAGCGGTTGAGTGAGGAGAGCAGGCAGGAGAAGTCCGAGGAGATGGAGCAGGAGGCGGTGAAATGAAGGTTGAAGTCACCCAGGATGATGAGGCGATCAGAGCAGAGGCAGAGAGATGTTAGTAGGGTAGAAATATCAGAGATGAAGGTGGGAGAGGTTTTAGGGGGCCGGTAGAGGATGAGGATTTTGAGTGAGAGAAAGGAGGGGTGGGAGAGGGTGAGGTGCTCAAAAGAGGGGAAAGAGCCAGAGGAGTAGGGGGATAGGGCAAGTGGTGTCCTTGAGATAAGGGCTACACCACCACCACAGCGGTTGGGGCGAGGGATGTGGTGGGAGGTGTAGCCGGGTGGTGTGGCCTCTGTGAGGGGGAAGGTGTCCTGGGGTGAGCCAGGTTTCCATTAAGGCCATGATGTCAACGCTCTCATCAAGGATGAGATCGTTGATGATCAGGGCCTTGTTACAGAGGGAGCGGACATTTTGTAATCCGATGTGGAGGGAGCACCTTTCACATTGAATGTCCCAAAGCGCTTCACAGGATATACAGTACTGTAAAGTGCAGTTACTGTGTGTTTTGTGAGAAAATGTGGCAGACAAATTGCACGCAGCAGTGTCCTACACACAGCCATAAAGTGATCAATGTTGAATTTGGAGCCATTAGTCAAGGTTTTGTAAAATACAAATATTATTCTACATTTAGTTGAAGACAACAATTATACATTTTCTTCACCTTCAGGTTAGGGTTAGGGTCTGTGAGCAATGTTCATGTTGAATTAGTCATCAATACATTAATGAGGATTTTTTTAAAATACCTTTATTATACAACATAAAACAAGACATAGACATACAATATCTCTTAAGTGACATGAGGGAACACCTAAGCAGTTGTTTTTACCAGAATGAAATGGGGACATTTAGACTGAGATATTCATTCACATTGAATTAGTTGTGGGCCTAATTTAGCACAACGAGAACATGAAAATTTGAATAAAACACAATCTTGTGAGATTAAATCGACTGAATGCAACACCTTTACATTTAAGACTGCTCAATTTTTTTTAGTGCTTAATGATCAAACATTAAGCCAACAAGCATCAGTATACAATAAAATGCAATTTTGAATGAGATTCTAAAATAATGAGGACACAGGTTACCTACATACTCTATGAGGAGAAAAACCTCTTTAGATTTCTTTAAATAAAACCAAATCATGTCTGCTTGCCACCACCCAGCTTTCCTCTGGCTGGAAGTCAGCGCAGAACATACTTTTTCCACAATATGACCAATATTACCTTAAAAGAATCCCCCATGAAACATGCTTGATCAGAGATAAGATGCATAATGGCATTCTCTCCCCAGTCCACCCTTCTTCAAATGAGGACTTGTCAGGGATATATATGTGTAACAAAAGATCACTCAGCTGATCAAACAATTCCTTCCATAGATTTTGAAGGATGTACTGTATCACAGACCTTACTGAAACCCACTCAATGGGAGGAAAGATTCTGCAAACTCTCTCTAACCATCGCCTTCCCCAGTAAATCAAGCAATATGACAGACTATCTAATCTTGATCTTACATTATTAATCAATGGCTGGTTGCTTTCTTTAAATAAGCTTCCATGGATTTTCCATGGTTTCATAAGTGAAGGAAACCTCATGTTTCACTCGCATTTGATCATCACGAGTTACATCTGTATCTTATAACTTTCAATCCTGATTCTGACCAGATATTAAGTTGGCTCTGCTTTTTCTTTAAAAAAATAAAGCATTTATCATTACTGCTCTAGTAGGGAGTTAATCTACCATTCCGGGGTAGGGATGCTTTCCTCTAATTTGAAGACACATATGTCTGAACTTGCTTCCGTGCGTTTCAACCACTCTTACTGCCAGTCCATTCTTTCCTCTTGGAAATGTCCTGCCGTTACATGTTACACATCGCAAAAGATCACAAGATTAATTCAAATGAATAAAGCCTTTCGGGCCATTTGATCTCATTCTCATCCCATCATCCCAACTCTGATCACAATATCAAGTTGTTAATCCATTTGTTAACATCCAGTTGTTAATTACCCTTTGGGCAAATTTCCTGAGGGCCCACGTGATTGGCTTCTGATACACCTTGTACTCCCTCGGTCAGAAGTTCCATTTTTAACCACTGGACCTTTTTGCTGGATCGGCCCCTACGCTGCACCCCCGACTCGGCACATCCATTTTGCCTGCTTATCCAGTCCACCACTGCCTCCTGGTAAAGAAAAACTTCACAATGTCCATCCTGACTGGGCCCTTTGCAGCTCTAAACGTGTGGCTTCTCATTCTACTGTCTGGTGGATCCCAAAGTACAAATTACTTTTTCAGTTCCATTTGAAATTTTATAAGGTCCGCTCTGAGATGTCTTCTCTCGAGGCTAAAGAGCCCTAGCTTGTCTACTGGAAACCTGCTGTTGAACTCTTCAGCAATCTACCTGTGATCACATTGAAAATCTCCAAAGTCTTTAACTGGATCTGACACTGTTGAGTTCTGAAGAAGTAACAAAAGTTATATTCATGGCCAATTATTTCCGCTCGAGTTGTTCTATCTATGCTGCGGCTGATCATTTAGCCTCTGCCTCTTTTACCATCACTCAGGAGTTCCTCAGGCCTTTGTTCTCATTCTCAATTAGTCTCTTCTTCACATTAATGACCCCTTTCTTCATCATCCCACTTCAGGCAGTTTGCTAATATAAATTGCTATTTTATATTCAAGTGCCTTCAATTTGAATGTCATCAGGACACACAACCTTAATTTCTCTTTAACTTACTATTTTCATCAATTAAATTAAAAAAACACAATTCCTTACCACTATCCAGCTTTCCAATAGCCACAGAGCAGTTCAGGACATTTGTGACGGTTGCAGAAATCTCAGTTTAGGAATATTCACAATCTAACTGAGCAACAATCACCTTGCTGCTTTAATTATATGGAAAAATATTATATTTTTCTATATATATTAATATATAAGGTACAATAAGACCAATGCCTTGATTTACTGTCACAGATTAATTAACATGAAAGTAAATGTTATACTGTTAAACATCAATTCATAGAATTATAGAAATTAAAGCACAAAAAAGAGCCCATCAAGTCTAAGATGGTACGAGCTTTTCCACAGGAGCTATATAGTCTATTACTAATACCTTGTAGTCTTGTATCATTTAGCAAATACATAAAAATTGTGGAGTAAATGATGTCAGCAAGACCACATATTGCTTAGTAAGATTGTAGAACTGTTTTAAGAACATAAAAATTTGCTAGGTGAAGGCAAACCAAGGTCCATCTCATTCGAATTCCACCATCCTCGCAGTCACTTGACATGTCGTATCTCAAACTATATATTGTATCTCAAGATATTATTTTCTAGCAGAAATCTATCTGATTTGTTCTTGAAACAAACAACATTTTCAGCTTCCACTGTGTTCCTCGGGAGCCTGCTCCATAAGTTTACTATTTGCTTACTGAAGCAGTGTTCCACAGATTTGTTCTGAATTTGCTCCCCCTTCAATCGCAGGCTGTGTCCTCTGGTTCTACTGTTCAGTACAAGATAAAACAGCTTATCATAATCTACATTATCTACTCCCTTCAGAATCCTAAAGTCCGTAATCATAACTATGTCTCTTCTCCGGTGTGAACGTATCCAGTTTATATAATCGCTCCTCATAGACCAGTCCCTCCATCCCCTCAATTATTTTGGTTGCCCTCCTCTCAATCGCTGCAATATCCTTTTCATATTGCTGTGACCAGAACTGCACACAGTATTCCAAGTGCGGTCGCACCAGTGATTTATAAAGTGGCAGGATTACCCCACTATTTTGGCTCAATATTTCCCATTTATTACAGCCCAGCATGTGCTTTGCCTTACTCACAGCTACTGAGCACTGAGTTAGGCTGTGCTCTCCCTCCCCAACCAATAACCCACAAAATCAAAAGATAGGACCTGAAACAAGACACAGATGCAAGATTGTAAATGAGCGGTGAAGAAACATTTGGAGCACAAAAACAGATTGCTCTTTGAACCATTACACTCTCTAGAAAAAGTAGCAACAATAGTAGTGTCCTGCTGTATAACATTGTGGTGAATGATAACCATATAGTATCACAGTCCTTGTCCAGACACGATCACCCCACCCACTAGGCCTTTGACTTGCAGGTTGAGGACATGTTTACACCTTCAAGTGTTATTGATGAGCCAAACAGGTTGTTCAATAACTGTTGAAGCCTTGGATTAAAAACCCCTGCCTTGATTCACTGTGGTGTCTTCATTCCCCCTCTGCAATAACGATATCATTTTAGATATGGTACTCACTTTATTGAAGGGATGAGTGAATCTAGGTTCAGCACTCAGACTGAGGTACACCTGCGATGTTTCTTGTACAATAAGCTGCAATTTGAAGGGGAATGCATTGGAAGATAACAGGTTTGAATGACGACTGGTGGAAAAGAATGACAATAGGGCACAGGAGGCATCTGCTGATGAAAAAAAAACTGAAAACCACAGCGAGGTGTTTGATAACAATTAGTAGATACTTTATTTCAATAATGTGAACTTTTCATGATGATTGTGCCTGGTGGCCAGTGTTTGAGTTGGTTTGTTCAACCCCTAGATAAATTAAACATGGATACTGTTGCTTCCCAATTGGTACAAATTGCCACCCAGCACCTCATTCATTTCTGCACGAAGAGATGCAGCGACAAGATACATTGAGAATGAAATAATGCACTTGTGAAATTCCAACGGGCACATGCTTTTGTTTCCACTGTGTGATCTGATTTTTTGTGAGAGCATAATGTGATGGGTTTGTCTGTGTGACATGAAACACTGCGTTCAGACTCACAAACCCTCTGTAGTTTATTGTACTTTAGAAAGTGGCAACAGTGCAGCTACTTTTCTGTGTGTCTCACTACAAGGTACTGGGTAGAGAATGGTTAGGTTGTGATATTTTCTGCCAGATTCCTAATAACCCTGCAAGTCAAAGCCCTGCCGTATTTGGAAAACAAAGGGAAGTTCACCACTGTCTGGTGGTATTGCACTAAGCTGCATTATTTTAGCTGATTCAATTTTAATAGTATCCCAATGCACACTTTACGGTCACTGATGCCTTGTTCTTTTCCTAACCCCATATCTATGTTCTCTAGCCAGCATTTGGCAAACTATGTCTCCAGGGGAGAGACTGCACACTCTAGAACTGGCTAATGGAAACTGCTCCTCTAAGTTACAGTCGTGGAATGACAGTCTCTTAAGAATAGCAAGGCATTTCGTACATGTTAGACACGTGGCTGACTAAAAATAGGCACAATCTCCAGAATCTATTCATTCCACAACCGCCCTACCTTAATGTAAGAGAACATAATCACAGCAAGGGACAGAGCACAATGTGACATGAAACACTGCATTCAGACTCACAAACCCTCTGCAGTCTATTGTACTTTAGCAAGTGGTAACAATGCAGCTACTTTTCTGTTTGGAATTTTATTTTGGAGACAATGCATTCTTCAGAGGAGAGAAGGTCACATAAGATTTAAAAATAATGAGCAATTGCAATGAACAATCTTGATGATTATGTGTAATAACACTCAACACTTTAGCAGCTTACACAAATTATTTGTAAACGTCTCAATGGACATAGTATTTGTGTTGACCTAACAACAATTATAGTACGCACATTAAAAGAAAATCTTTTTTTCTGAAGCGTATGCATCGTGCTGAACAGCACAGAATCTTTTTTTTCATTTATTTTACAAAATCTAAATTACTGGATAATTTGGTGCCCTATTGACAAGCTAACATATGCAGCCAACATTCATATATTTGCTGCTAATAAAGAACGACTGCTATCAAGTGCGTCTTTTACAATGCCTTTGAAGGGAATCTTAGTGCTGCTGTGATTCATGTCATGAGATTCACTCCACTGGACATGATGCAGAGAGAGAGGCCTCTTCTGACTAATGGATGAAACAATTATTTTCAATACTTTACAGAAAGACATTGTTATCTTCATAAGGTGAAAGATTTGAGGTCTCAACATTATATGAGATGGTAAATGAACAAAGTGCTAACTCACTGTCTTTAGGCAGCATCAGACAAGACAAGTCAGGTTTCATGTTTCCATGATAATCACAGTTTTTCTCCATTTTCGTATCTAACCCTCCCAGAAAAGCCATTGACTGGCAACGGGCAGAATGTATTTTGTCATCAGGTCGATACATCAATATATTCCATTGCCTTTGAAAAGCCAGTTAAGGGAATGGCCTTTTCCCTCATTAGATATGACATCTTGCTATCCCAGCTATCAAATGCTTTATAAAATATACATACATAATGCCATACTGTTGCCATTCGTCCACTGACACCAGGGCGCCACCAATCTGAATAATGATCAAAAATATAAAAGTACTAAAAATGTCATCTTTCTCTTCAAGATTCGCATCAGAATGGATTCAGACGTATTCCCGTGCCTAAAGGGGAGAAGGGGTTCACTTTTGCCCACATCAGTGCATCGTTGAGTGAGATGGCTGATTTTCCATCTTCAAGGAAATAAACTGGGCCCTAAAATAAAGCAAAACAGAAATGTTTAACCTTCTTGGGGTTCAGTCACACGGCTGAACTGTACCCATTGCTGAGGGGATGGGGGGAACGGGGCTGGGCAGGGGAGGGAGGGAACAGCCCCACGGTGAGAGCTTGACAAAATGATAGAGTGGACGGTTTTGACAAATTATCTCAACTTTGCTTCTGCAATATGCAGGTTGAGGGTAAGTGCTATAATATGTGCAAAATTAAAATCCACTCTGCCAAAAAAGGTAGCAATAATGCAGGTAAGTAAGCAAGTAAGATGGCAAATGTGAAAATATCAATGCATAAATTCAACATTTCTAACTTTGCATCCTGCATATTCACCCCCTCAACAAAGGATATAACAAAGCATGTTATCATGGGGCTCCACTACAGCACTCGGTGTATAATGCCCACTTATTGGGCACAAACACATCAAAAAGGTCGAATTTGTGAAATTAGATGACTTATTTTTAAATTAAAAAAAGCTATTTTCCTACCTGTATTCTCAGGCCTGTGAGGCAGGAGATATGAACCTCAGAATGACTGGGAAGATTTGACCCAGTGACGTAATCATGACCGATCAGTCCTTTGATTGGTTCTTCTTCAATTCTCTTCAGTAATATGTCGTAGACGTCTCTTTGTGATGCAGGAGGAGTATAAAGAGAATCCTGGAAAGCCCTGAGTATAGTTTGTAAATCAATGCTTTGGCATATACACTTTGGGATTTAAATCACAACAATTTGTATTGCATAATGGCATCTCCTTTCAAAAACTAGAATATATCACACCACTGGAAATCTGAACCAGCATTCGGAGTGGAGTTCCAACATGTCAAATTGATGTACTCCTGGGTACTGGACAGAATCCTATACGTGACTCGGAGTCGCGTTTAAGGACTTCCATTATACAATTGCCATAATTCAAAGCCGAATCTGAAAAGCAGCAGTGTGGAATTCAGCAAAGCAGGACATCGCTGTGAGCAGCTTGATTTTATAAAGTGACACTGTACAGCAAAGGTGCATGTCAGCACAGCCTTTCAGAACTCAAAGCAACCCACTATATCACAAACCTCCCCATTCCTAGTCTGGCTCTCGTCCCTCTCACCATCACAAACCCAACTCCAAGCTGGTCTTGCTCCCATTTCAGGTCCTACTCCAGATTTCTAGTTAGCTTATACAGTAGGAAGCCCTACTGGAACAGGAATTTATATCACCCACTTGATTACATTACTCACAATTTATATTACCCATGTCATGCTGCAGTATTTAGTGTCTGTTAGCTGGTTGGGGAGGGAACAAAGTAATGAATTGGGCGATGCAGCAGAATTTCATTTATTGCAAGTAGACTGACAATGTGCAGGACACTTTTCACTAATACTCTTGCTCCAATCAATAGAAGGTTCTATATGAAATTTAAAACACTTAAACGTTTCCAAACAAAAAGCAACTTAAATGTTGTGAATAGCTTATTTGCTTGCTCTGAGAATGCTCATCTTGCAAGCTCGAGTCTTTTAATCCACTGTCTTAATGACAGACACTCAATCCTCCTAAAATCTAATTTCAGTTTTCTATGTCGGTTATGTATTACACACTCACTTGTTGGCTGGCTGGGTGCATGCCCTCCAAGCATCGAGCTCGACAGATAATTGCTCAATCTGAATTGGAACTGACACCTCTCGACGTTTCAGAAGTTGACTGTAATAAGAAAAGCTCCTTGTCATAAAATGATTGTAAATGAAATCAGCTACCTCGCTCCTAACCTCACGGAGATGACAATGAGTGGATATCCATTGCTGGGTTATCACAACTTTGCCCATTCCTGTCATCACCAAAACATCTACAAAAGTGCACGTTGCAGTCAATGTCATGGTTTTATGATCAGACAAGGGAACCTTGGACAGTGTTTTTCTTCCCAGCCGACATTTTCTTTTCCCATTGTGCGCTAGGAGAAGAAGCCCAGTTGAGTACTAAAATGCCACCTGTGGTTGATGGGAAACTTATGAAGTTGTTGACCCTTACCATTTCAAATAATTATTGTACATTTGTTATATTATTTAACGGGAATACCCAGTGCATACTGTCCCACCTGGTGTACTCATAGAGTGCAGGAACAATACTGCTATAATGTCTTCTAATCGCCAGCAAAGCTGCAATGTAGCCACAGAATATCAACAGCTCATTCCGAACTCTGAAAGACAAGAGGAATCTCCATCATATCACATAATTAGGACATGATGGGGGTGCGGGGGGAGAACGGTATTCTTACGGTGAGTTGCCCCTAGGAATCTGCTCTGGAAGAAAAGCCTCCCACTACTCCCTCCAATGGAGGGATCTGCTCAACGTCTCCATCTGAAGGCTTTCCCAAGGCCTGAAACTTGTTGCTTGGGCAAAGGCATCAACAAGTCAGGGCAGCTTTCTAAGTCAGCATGGCGTATTCTGAGTCAGAGCAGCACAGGCAGATTTGGGCTCTCCCCTTATTTAAAAATGAGGATTGGGTGGGGGAAGAAGAGATTGCAAAATCTCTGTTTAACAGCATTCATTAAAAAAGGAACAGAATATATTTGGAATGTAATACCGTGCGTTTAATTCCAAAGTTAAATCAACACATGGATTTTGGTGACTATCGTTGCAGGATAGTTTTTGACATTCAGAATTTCAGCAATACTTTTATTTTGTACATTTCCTGACACCAACTTACTCACTACACTTGTGCAGCACCAGCCGGTCAGTGCGGATGTAGCTGAGCAGCCCCAACATCCGATAGAGTATGTCCACGGTCCAATCAGAACTCTTTAGCTGCTCTACGGGGTAGGAAGCAATGCCGTGAGTTACAGTCATGTCACATGGTCTTGCATTTATATCACGCCCTTCACGTAGGAACGTTTTGGAGCGCTTCACAGTGGTAGGGTAGGACTGAGTGAGGGAGAAGGAGGAGGTGATCAAGGGAATCAAAAGAGGTAAGTTTTAAGGTGGGATTTAAAACCAGACTTATTTTTGCGCAAGGCAGAGAGATAGTAGCAAAGAGATCCAGAGGTTCGGGGCAATGGTGGTGCAAAGGGCAGGATGGCGAACAGGTCTGTGTTAGCTGAGCAGAGGAAGAGAAGTACGAGAAGCACATTCTTGATCAAATGAGATTTGCACAGTCTTGATCATTGCACTCTGCTCAGGATATGTGCGTGAGTAGCCCAAACACACAAACCTCCCTCCACATTGAAGCCAGCCATCTGGAAGGAAGAAAAACTAAAAAGCCTAACTAAAAAGAAAAACTAAAAAAACTCGAAAATTCAACTTTGGGCTATATTCTGTTGTATCTGCCTTGCAGGTCAATATGAATTGAAGTGAAAAATGGGAACGTTCATATCAGATCCGATGTGATTATTGTGGCATGAAATCTATTATCGGAAGGAGTTCCCGCTCACATTTCTCGATTTAGGGTTAATTTAAGAAGTGCCACACAAAGGCTTCCCCCCACCCCTGCCATTATATATCACCATTTTGTGCCCTACTCTCAGGAACTCTCTAAGAAAGTTATTGGCTGCATGGTATAAATGATGAGGAGGGCAGCCAATGTTAGACTGAATCAAAACACCTCAGAACTATAATAATAATAACCCTTGCATTTGATATAGTGCCTTATCATGTCTTCGAGACGTCTCAAAGCGCTTCACAGAATACACTGCAAAGTGAATTGACTATATATTTGTAGGTGAAACACGGCAGCCAATTGCACACAGCAGTGTCCCACAAACAGTCGTGGTATGAAGTGACCAATTTATAAATTTTGTTTGAAGGAATTATTACCCCGGAAACAATCTGCAACTGGGTTGCTACTTACAGCTAGGTAAACGGGGATGGGGGGGTGGCGGGAGTAAGGAAACTTGCCTAAGGTTTTGTGCCCCCGGGGAATCGGACTTGCTTGCGAGATGAACGCTCTAACCAATACACTACAGGACTCCACAAGTGTGCAAGAAGTCAATGAAGTGAGTGAGTTAGAAGTCGACAGAATAAGCACAATAATTTACATTTACTTTACACAGAATCTTTCACATTCAAATGGCTTTGAAAAGGCTGAGCGAGAGCTCATGTTGGGAGAGGAGAAGCAATGCAGCTAAGTTCAACTCTCTTCTGCAACTATGATGTGTGGGATTTCACTGTTTATGAGTTGCCAAGATAACACAGACGGCTAGATATGTACATGGTTATAACAATAATTATCCAAAACAATGTACAGGATAACTACCTTTAACATAAAGAAGACCAATCGGAAGGGCTTTTTCTGGTTCAGGGCTCAACAAGTAATATTTCACTGCCTGGAATACATCCCCATCAGATTTGTGAGATTCAGCTAGTTGGTGGCATTCCTCAGTAGTCGGCAAATTGCACTGTAAAAAAGATTTTCACACGAGATATTAAGGTTAGAGTTATGTTATAGAAATACAGCATACAGTTACAGCATGGATGCAGGGCATTCATCCCAATAGATCGTCCCAGGGTTTAAACTCCAAATGAGCCTCCACACCTCCCACTCCTTTCTTCCATAACACTCCCATTCTCTCCCATGCGTTCACCAGTAATGTCACAGAAGAAAAACAAGAAGCCCCATCATTAAACTTGACAATAACTGAAAGATTAAGAGGATTTTTTTCAAGCATCTTATCATGTCTAACAACAACAACAAGATTACATTTGTATAGCGTCTTTCACCTCGGGAGGACGTCTCAAGGCGCTGGACAGTGTACAGCATTTCAGACCTGAGCTGGGGTCAAGGGGCAGAAGGGAGAGGAGGGGAAGGGAGGTGGCTAATGGCATGGTCGAAAAGGAGGGTTTTGAGGCGGGACTTGAAGGAGGCTAAGGAGGGGGTGAGGCGGAGTGATTAGGGGATGGAATTCCAGAGGGTGGGAGCAGAGTGGCAGAAGGCCCACCCGCCAATAGTGGAGCGAGCGAGGCGGGGAACGTGGAGCAGGCCAGAGCCGGCTGAGCGGAGGGAACAGGCGGGTTGGTAGGGGGTTAGGAGGTCACAGAGGTAGGGTGGGGCGAGTCCATGGAGGGCTTTGTAGGTGAGGACCAGGATCTTGAACTGGATCCTCTTAAGGATAGGGAGCCAATGGAGTCGGGCGAGAGTGGGGGAGATGGGTTCACAAAGTTTGGTGCGGGAGAGGACACGGGCTGCAGAGTTCTGGATTATCTGCAGGCTGTGGAGGGAGGAGTTGGGAAGGCCGACAAGCAGGGCGTTTGCATAGTCGAGCCTGGAGGTGATGAAGGCATGAACAAGAGTTTCAGCGGCCTGAGGGGTGAGGTAGTGGCGGAGTTGGGCGATGTTACGGAGATGAGGGAAGGCAGAGCGGGTCATGGCTTGAATGTGGGGGAGAAAAGACAGTTGAGAGTCGAACAAGACACCGAGGTTCCTGACTGGCTGGTGAGTTGAAGTGTGCAACCATGGAGGTTGATGCTGCCAGAGCCTGAGGTGCAGAGGCGCTGGCGCGAGTCAATCAGGAGGGCCTCAGTCTTGTTCACATTCAACTGTAGGAAATTTGCCCTCATCCAGGACTTGATGTCCGACAGGCAGTCTGTCAGGACAGCAGTGGTCCTGGAGTTGAGAGTGGAGGCAGAAAGATAGAGTTGGGTGTCATCCGCATACATTGGAAGTTGACTCCATGTCTGCGGATGATGTCACCACGGGGGAGCATGTAGATATTAGAGAGGACCAAGAACAGAGCCCTGGGGGACGCCAGACGTGACAGTGTGGGGGCTGGAGGAGAAACTGTTAGAGGCAACAATGTGGAGACAGTGAGAGAGATAGGAATCTAACCAGGCAAGGGCAGGTCCGCGAAGATTAAGTAAAGCGGAGAGGTGGTGTATGAGGATGGAGTGGTCGACAGTGTCGAAGGCGGCAGAGAGGTCGAGGAGGACAAGGAGGCAGAGGGAGCCCTGATCACAGATGTTCAGAATGTCATTAGTGACTTTGACCCGGGCTGTTTCCGTGCTGTGGGCAGAGTGGAAGCCGGTTTGGAGGGTTTCAAAAAGGGAATGGCGAGAGAGAAAGGAGCGGAGCTGGGATGCGACGACTCATTCCAGGACGTTGGAGAGGAATGGGAGGTTAGAGATGGGGCAGTAGCTGGAGAGGAGGGATGGGTCCAGGGAAGATTTTTTCAGGAAGGGAGTGATGACGGCTGTTTTTAGGGGGGTGGGAAATGAACCAGTGGACAAAGAGAGGTTGATGACGTCGGACAGGAAGAGGCCCAGAAGGTGGAGCCGGGAGATGAGGAGAGAGGCGGGGATGGGATCGAGGGAGTGGGTGTTGGGTTTGAGTTTGCAGACAGTCGTGGTGAGGGAGGAGGGAGAGATAGAGTCAAAAGAGTATAGGGGGGGATGGGTGGGGGTTGGGTCATGAGGGAGAGGTGATGTGGGGGTGGCTGTGGACGGGGCTGACGTGTCTGAATGTATCCCCTCGATTTTAGATTCGAGGAAGTCCAGCATCTCCTCACAGTTGGAGTTTGAGGAGAGGATGGGCAAGGTATGGGAAGGTGGACAGAGGATACTAGCCTGTGAGTCTAAATGTCTCACAGGCAAGTATCTCTTTTTGGAGGAAAGTTCAACAATAATTTGCACCAGCGAGGTCACACAAACAGCCATGAGGTGAACGACAAATTAGGAGAATGGCCAATTTATCTGGCTTGATGGTAAGGACGTCAGCAGAAAGGATTACTGCTGCAACAATGCATCATCACTTGAGAAAAACTAACTCGTCTCACGATGCACAAACACAGCTCACATTCCCTATTCATAGATGAACAGTGCAATGCTTGGTGAATTCTGCTTACAATGATAGGAAGAGTCAACCTTGAAGGATCAAATCGTGACATCGCTATAAACGACGCTATAAATTCTTCATCAAAGGACATCACTGTTCTGTGCAGCTCTTGGCCACCATCTGGTGGCCACTAATGATTTATGGAATATCTCCGTTTTTGCCCAAATAATTGTTCAACCTATTAAAAAAACAACGATTTGGTCATTCAATCCATGACGGTTTGTGGGACGCTAATGTGCGCAATTGGCTGCCGCATTTCACCCACAAAGTATAGTCAATTCACTTTGCAGTATATTCTGTGAAGCACTTTGAGACGTTTCAACGATGTGAAAAGGCGCTATATCAAATGCAAGGATTATTATCATAACCCAAACCTCAGAGCACATCGACTGCCCAGTGTTCGAGAAAAGAGTTAGAGCGGTTAGAATTTTTAAGTTAAAAAAAAACCAAAACAGGAGTGTGTGAACAACAGAAACAAACTTAGAAGCAACAATTGCACACAGCTACAGAATCATGGTGCTCCCTTGTAGTTCCTCTTAGCCATTCAAATGAAGTCTATTGTGCAAATCTGTCCATGGCAAAGTGCCCTTTAGAGCCCTAGAGTGAGTCTTACTTTAGAGCGAGTCTTACTTTCTCGTGAAGGTCATTAACTTCTTCAGTGCTTCCAGGGTATAATGCACACAGTTTGACTATCAGCATCTCGTTGTCGGGGATCATTGTAAGAAGGTCTGCAGCTAGGTCCCTGAAATAGAAATTGTGGTGAAGTTACAACAAAAATGAAATACAATATTGTATTTCAGGTCTCGTAACATTTTAGAACATAAGGAACTAAAATTTGGTATATTCCATTTCTTAATTAACACAAGAAAACTTTAAGAAATATTGGAAATGTCTCCCCATTCCCTAATTAACACTGCCTTACCTTCACTCAGGTCATTGCTCTCTGCCTCCAATCCCTACGGCCACTTCTCCTGCTCAGCTGGGCACAAGCCAGAGGAAGTAAATCAGGAAACCAAATTTATATAGTCGGTTTCCTGATGTAGGCCAGAAATGTGGTAGTAAAGCTCCTGCTGATGTGAAGGGCGCTATACAAATGTAATTTGTTGTTGTAAATCTATTTAGAGTGTTTTACCTTAGGAAACCTTTTATCTCAAGTTAAAACTCCATATGTGGAACTCTCTCCCTCTATCACCCATCTCGACCCGACACGAGTTTCTGCTGTCTGTCCAGCTCAGACCACTTTACCTATTAAAGCTTCGGCTTGTAGAGTTAACAGTTGCCGAGCAGGAAGAATCACTGCCCCATTGACTATACAGCTGTGGTCTCCTTATACAATAGTGTGTTTTTTAAATCTTAATACAGGTATTGGTTAATAACATAAACATCTGAACAACCATGCAAAAAAATGCACACACTGCAAGTTCACAGTGGTACAAACAGAAACATCAATGCTCATCATCAGCCATTTGGTGAGATCAGCGAGTCTGCGGATGGTGACGAGAGCAATAGTCTATACTAACGCTTTAGCAATATTAGCAGTACCTGTATCCAATGTGTGGAAAGCTAAAAACATTATAAAAAAACAGAAGTAAACAAAAACATTCATACTCAAAGCACAACAAATGAAGTATATGGTCTGAATAAAACAATCCACACATCATGCACAAAAAACAATTGCTAGATATGCACAGAAATACGAATTATTCACACAGTATGAGGTGTCTTTTCAGCAATCGGTTACAGATACGACAATAGTTTAGGGGCCGGGATGCAGTCAGAAAGAAACAAAGAGAAACTCCTGGGAACAATCTTTTCGTTAGCGCTGTAGCCAATTTGTATATTGCATAATGTCCTGTTATCTGCATTGTTCACTATCTGTATTGCGCTGGTCCCAAGTAGTGTGGATAATCGGCTCTATATGAACTGTATTAAAGGTGACAGAACATATTGGTTTGGGCTTGCAAAATCAAAGCTGAAAGTCAGCGACTGATATACAATTTTTGTCATCATTGTGAGGCGGAAGCCTCTGCGTATAATTTAAAGTTGTTACCTTCAGCAGCAGGGCGCACTCACCACGTTGTTGCTGACATGCACTTCCGGGCTAGAAGTTCCAGTGCATAGTTAGTTACACGTCCTGCAGAATCTCCCAGCACAGTTCCCAAACAAACCGATAACTCCAGCTCATTCCCACGAATCAGACTTGACATCGCAAGCTTTATTAGAGATCAAAGATGTGTCAAGGTTATTGATACAAATCAAGTTTTCTGTTCAACTTTGAAGAATTATCTAAAATAATCTTGAATAAAGCACTTGTCTATTCTGTTCTGGGAACTGAAATTAACAGTCAAGCGATGTGGTGCTTAATTTGGATTGTTGATTACTAACTCCTGCAACCTGATTCTTTGTAAAAGGGGCAATAGTTTACTCAGAAATGTTACAATACAATATAAATTTACACTCATAGAGTGCTTTTCACGTCGTGAGGACGTACCAAGATGCTTAATATTCCTAGCATCTGAGCTGAGGGTGGGAGCTGAGTGGGTTGGGGGAGGGGAAAGATGACCAAATGTGAAGTCAAAGAGCGAGGTCTGGAGACGGACCTTGAACAAAAGGGAGGGAGGGAGCGAGTTGCAGTTCAAAGAATGCCAAACTCTGAGAGCACAATGCCACTTGAATGCTTAATGCAAATGTTCAAGAATGCACCCCTCTCAGGTTTCTCTTGATAGAAAAGTTGCATTTTTTATTTTTTATAAAAATAGGCTATGTTCGGCAATTTATACATTTGACAATACTTCAGCAGAGTGCCTGACCACAAAAATAACCTAAAATCAAACTGAGGACATGACCTCTACCAAACCTATATATAGACATTCTCAAAAACAGGGATTTGTAGCCCATTTTTCCAAATTCCAGGAATCCTGTTCAATACTGTTTTCACACAAAAAATGCTTTGCAACAAGAAAAGCAAGAGAATGCAATAGACACAATATTTGACCCAGCAGGATACAACTCAGCTCTACCCGCGCTCTGCATAAATGTGGATAAAAATAATTCTTCCATTTGCTACACACCTTCCATGTCGGGGAGACTTCTCAAAGCACTTCACAGGATTTACTGTTAAGTGTAGTGACTGTGTATTTTATAGGCAAATGCAGTGGCCAATTTCCACAGGGTAGGGTCCCACAAACAGTCATGAGGTGAATGACCAATTTTATGTTGACGAAGGTACCAGGAGATTGACGTCCACCTGACCAGGCAGGTAATACTAACTGATCCGGCAATGCATTTAATAGCACATGTGCAACTTTAGGAGATTACATAAATGTAGTACCTCAATATCATCCACTGCTAAATGGCAACACGCTGCTAACACTGCTCGTCCATCCTGGAAGTACCATTCTGCCAGCTCCTTACTCACTCTGTGTAACAGTCTGCAGAACAAGACAGATTTCTCCTCAGCAACCCAATGACTTCTGAGCAAAAGCAATTTTCCAAAGTAGCACTCAAGTCAATGTGTTCTGCTGTAACTAAGCAACAGTGGAATATTCTCATGAGACAGTGAGCATCAATATTCAATGGCCACATAAATACCAATATTCTTTACATCTTTAAACTCTGTATGACTGAACGATTCAGATATTGCAGCGACATATTGAGAAGTGAATGTTAATTTCTTTTTTATTAAAAAAGGATTTTAAAAAAATTATTTTCTCCCCCAGTTACATCTTACCTTCTTGCACTGGCTGTGGAAGACCCTGATGTTCCCTCCCCGGCTCTCTCCTTGAGGGAAAGAGAAAGGCTTCTGCTCTGTCACCAGACACACAATGACACACTCGAGACTGGGCTCATAATGGGGGTGAAAGTGGGACATTTGTAATAAAAAAAAGGCAAATTCTGAGAGGCAAAAAAAAGGCAAAGAGAGGGGAACAAGCTTGTGAAGCAAAGAAGGCCAATGTTGCATAAAGGGGGCCACAGTTGTATAGAAGTGGTGTGAGGATTTATTTGGTTACCTTTTGAGACCAGTGAGTATCTAAAACTTTCTCTAGGGAGATAGAGTGGGTAACTACAATAATGGGGTGGTGTTCCCCCCAAGATCTGTGGAAGGAATGGGTTTGAAGGTCTGAATGACTTTCTTAATCATTACATACATTTACGTAGACTGTTTCAGGACAGAAATAGGACCTTCAGTCTAACTAGTCTGTGCCTCGTTTATATTCTGCATGAGTCTCTACTACTCCCAATGTCCTCCCCCTATTCCCTTGCGCCGACACCATCAGCATCCAAGGCTGCACTCTCCACCTCTCAAAGCCAGTCAGGAACCTCGGCGTTTTGTTCGACCCTGAGCTGTCCTTTCTCCCTCACATCCGCACCACAACTGGCACCGCCTTCCATCACCTCCGGAATATCGCCAGACTACGGCACTACCTCACCCCTCACGCTGCTGAAACCCTGGTTCACGCCTTTGTCACCTCAAGGCTGGACTATGGGAACTCTCTCCTCGCCGGCCTTCCCGCACCTCCCTCCACAAGCTGCAGGTCATTCAGAACTCTGCAGCTCGTGTACTGTCCCGCACCAGGACCACATCACTCCCACCCTCGCTCGCCTCCACTGGCTCCCCATCCCCCAGAGGATTGATTTCAAGATCCTCATCCTCACCTACAAGGCCATTCACGGCCTTGCTCCCTCCTACCTCTCCAACCTACTATCCCCCTACCTACCTGCCTGTACCCTCCATTCCTCTGGCTCCGGTCTGCTCCACGTCCCCCGCCCCAATCGCCCTACCATCGGTGGTCGGGCCTTCAGCCTCTCAGTCCCGAGGCTCTGGAACTCTATCCCCCAGTGCCTTCGCCGCCTCCTCCCTTTCCTCCTTCAAGGTCGGTCTCAAAACCTTTCTCTTTGACCGAGCCTTCAGCTCCCTTCTCGACTCTCTTCCCCCTCCTCGCTCCCTCCCTTCCCTCCCCTCACCCTGACCATTTCCCCCCTCCTCTCTCCCTCCCTTCCCTCCCCTCACCCTGACCATTTCCCCCCTGCTCGGGTCATGACCCAACTGTGCAGCGCCTTGGGACGTCCTCCTGACGTGAAAGGCGCTTTATAAATGGAATCTTGTTGTTGTTGTTGTTGCTATACCACTCACGCATTTCTGCCTCATGCATGCTTGAGTTTTCTCTTAGATACGTCAATGCTTTCTGCTTCGATCATAACTTCTGGCGAGTACCACCCTCTGCAAAAAGAAGTTCCTCCTGAACTTTCTTTTATGGTTACTAGTGACAATCTTACATGAAAACCCCATTGTTACAGTTACCAACAAGTGGAAATTGCCTATTTATGTCCACCTTATCAAACTCTTTCGTAATTTTAAACCCTCTCAATTGTTTCATCTACAGAGAAAAAAGCTTTAAACTTTCCAATCTGTCTTAAGAGCTGCATTCCCTGCTTCTCGTCCAGGGTTCACACCTCTCTGGGGTTATTATTCTAATAGCTCTCCAATACATATCTTTCCTCTGACAGTAATTATCTAATCCTCTTACTAAACACATCCGATCGATCTTAATCCAACACCTACCCCTGGTTACCCACTTCTATATTCTGAGATCTTGTTGAGGTCCACAACACAATCAGGCTAAAAGTGAACAAACTAGTCTTATAATGAAGCTCATTCTACAGCATAAAGTAAATTGTTTGTATTTAGTGCTTATATATTGTTTCTAACAGAATTCCTACATTAGCTACTGAGTACATATCTACGTGGTACAAGAAGCAGCTTACTCATTGTAGTCCTCTGCCATGTTGTTTCCATCATCACCTGCTGCTCCGTTCGATGATAAGACTTGTGGCACATGAATATTCCCTTCACAAGCTGCCTGCAGACACATTGTGATACGTGATTAGCATTTAAAAAAACAATACTCCTACTGAGTGTCAAGTGGGGACTGAAAGGGCTTTTAAAAAATCCTATTACCATAACTTCCACTGTTTCTTTATTCCACAGAGTCAAATAATTCTATGACACAATAGAAGATCATTGTATTAGTGTCAGAGGATGGAGGCTTCATCCTCCAATGAAGCCACCTATCCATTCCCTGTACTCTCTAATTCCTCTCCTCCACATGTGATTATTATCACAATAATCTTTGTATTTGACATAACACCTTTCTTGTCAGGAAGACATTGCAAAGCAATTCACAGGCTCACTGTAAAGTGTTGTGACTGTGCATGTTTTGTAGACAATCGCAAACCCAGATTTGCGCACAGCAAAGTCCCACAAGCCACCATGAAGCAATTTTATTTTATCTGGGGGATTTTTGGTCAGGACACCGGGAGAAATGTTCTCATCATTTCAAATAATTCAATGGGATCTTTAACATCTAGCTAAACACGCAGACGTGACCTCAGTTAACATCTCCTTTGAAGGAGAATCCGAGCACTGCACTGGAGTGTCTAGACTAACTCCTTTTTTTTCACAAATGCACCTAAATCATCCCTTGTCTGACAACTCCCCCTGGCAAATCATTCCATATTCTGAAAACCTTCTGGAAGAAAAAACTGTGTCCAACTTTAACAGCCCCCCGGTTTCAATCTTAAACACGTGGCCCCCTACCTTTGAATTGCCTACCAGAGGAAATATTCCCTCATCATTTTATTCAGGATAGATCTTTGAGTTACTGCTGGATGATGCAGGGATGGGAAATGCGTCCGTTTATGTTACAATTGCCACTGGTGAGAATTATTACACTTTCCACTCTTGGCGAAACCCAAGTCAACGGCGACCCAATTAATGGCTATTGAGTGAATACCCCGCACTTCTTGGACTTTATTATAATAATACTATAAGAAAAAGATTGAGCCCAAAGCAAATTGAAAATATTAATTATAAAACTTTCCAACGTCTAGTACGGTATATACTTAGGCATTGTCAAGAGTCAAGTTTTATCTTAAATAAGTTCATTTAAATTTTATTTTAAAAGTAAATTTTTCCTTCCCCCCTGTAATTTCTGAGCTATCCCTTGTTACCTGAGCGACCAGGAGAGCTTCCTTCAGCTGCCCTCGGGAGGTGAAAAACGTCACCAGCTTCTTCACATCGCCGGTGGCGATGCAGTATGGGATGATGTCATCATTTCCCTCCTGGATCATCTGATCAGCCCTCCTGAAGGAACAGTACGACATTAATGTAAAATGTTACATTCCACTGTTACCAAAAGCTTTCCTGTGGTTGGGGTTAGTCTGATGGGCACCATCATGCTTCAAGGCTCCATTCCTTCCTTTTCCTTTTTGGAGGTTATGAACCTTCTTGTAGGGCTGCATTATGTAACGCTCCTTTATCTCAGTAATAAGGTTTGGTGAACCCACTGAGCTTCCCTCAAATCCTCACTATTTTCAAGTATTGACTAGGTTAAGTCAGACGATGCAGCTTCTGAAGGGACAGGGTGGGCCTGATCTGAAGGCTGCTTCATTGCTAGCGAACAGCACACTGTAAACAACATCCTTCATGTTGCAAAGGATTGTGAATTGCGCTGCTCCCCTGCAAAAGCAAAACCTTTCTCTTCCTCTCAAAAACCTCTCTTCCCCCACTCTCTGGAACTCCATCCCACATTCCCACTGCCTCGCGCCCTCCCTTGCCTCCTTAAAGGCTCGGCTCAAAACACACCTCTTTGACCGTGCCTTCAGCTACCCTCCTACCCCCACCCTCCCTATCGTCCACCTCTCCTAATACCAACCCCCAGCTCGGGTCCAAATTCCTGACTCTCCAGCATCTTCGGACATCCTCCCAATGTGAAAGGCGCTTTACAAATGTAATTTATTGTTGTTGTTGGTATAATAATAATAATAATCCTTGCATTTGATATAGCGCTTTTCACGTCGGGAGGACGTCCCAAAGCGCTTCACAGAACACACTGTAAAGTGAATTGACTGTATATTTGTGGGCGAACGCGGCAGCCAATTGTGCACAGCAATGTCCCACAAACAGTCGTAGATTGAAAATGACCAATTTATTATTGTTTTGTTTTTTTGGAGGGATTATTATTAGTCGTGTGGAGTAAGGAAACTTGCCCAAGGTTTTGCCCTGCCTGGAAATGAACTCAGGTCTCTCACTTGCAAAGCGAGTGCTCTAACCACTGAGCTACAGGACTCCACATGTGTATGTGCACATCCTTACATAAGTAGAGTTAGCAGCAGTTTTGCAAGGCAAACATATCCTGCAACTGCTTTCATTGTGGGTAATTTTTTTTGTTTGCTTTTGATATTATTAATAGATTTATTTATTCTTCAACAAATGCTGTGTAATGGAGTGTAATGTTTGGAATCATTAAATAGTTCATAGAAAATGCCTGGTTAGGCCTCAGCTAGAGTACTGTGTTCAGTTTTAGGCACCACACTTTAGGAAGAATGTCAAAGCATTGGAGAGGGTGCAACAGAGATTTACCAGCATGGTACCAGGAATGAGGGACTTCAGTTATGAGGAGAGGCTAGAGAAGCTAGGGTTTTCTCCTTGGAGCAGAGAAGATTAATAAGGAGATCTAATAGAAGTTTTCAAACTTATGAGGGTATTCGATAGGGTGAACAAGGAGAAATTATTTCCACTGGCGGGTGGGTCAGTAACCCAAGGGAACCAATTTAAAATAGTTGTTAAAAGAAACATGGGGGAGGTTAGGAGAAATTGTTTCACACAGCGAGTTGTTCGGATCTGGAATGCATTGCCTGACAGGGTGGTGGAAGCCGATTCGATAACAACTTTTAAGAGAGAAGTGGATAATTATTTGGGGAGAACAAGCTTGCAGGGTCTATGGTGAAAGAGCGGGAGAGTGGGATTGAATTGGACAGCTCTTTTTAAAGAGACGGCACAGACAAGATGGGCCAAATGGCCTCCTTCTGTGCTGTATAATTCTATGATTCTATGAAACGCCTCACCTTTGCATTAACTTCTTCCAGTACTTCATTGAAACACCAGGTGCCACTGAGAGAGCTTTGTTCCACTGTAAAACCAATGACATTTATCTCACGCATGCATATTTTTTTTCTCTCTGACATTTCTTTCTGAGTAACATAGCAACCTTGCAGAATAAGTGCTGCAAATTTCTATTTGGCTGGCATCATTAACCAAAGGAAACAAAATAAAGCAGTGGGTTTGGATGTTGCCATGGCAATCCTATTTCTCTCTCCTCGTGCACATTTCACTTTACCGCAGAATCTTTCTACTTAATGGAGTACGATTTTAAAATGTGATGTAGCTGGCAGACCTTAATTATTTTCCCAGATCCTCAAAATTGAAGCTCCTCAACCTTCAACTCTCCTACAAACTACAGGCTTTGGAAAGCCAAGCTTGGCATCCTCTAAGCACCGCTTCTAGACTTGTTTTGTTGCTCTGCTTACTCTTTTCGACCCTTCTGATGGCCTGCACTTTGCGCCTTGATCCTTCAGATGGATTTCTATTATAATTATAATAATAACAATCTTTGCATCTGAAACAGTGCCTTTCACATCGTTAAGACCTTTCAAAGCGCCTCACAGAAGGATTGAGTGACCAACATGCTTTTTTGGGAGGGATTATTACCCCCGGAAAGCGATGGCATTCGACAAACAACTGGATTCCTACTCACTACTAGGTAAACATAGGTGTGTGGAGTAAGGAAACTTGCCTAAGGTTTCGCACCACCTGGGATATCGAGCCAGGGTCCTCTCGCTTGTGAGGGGAGCGTGCTAACCATTACACTACACCACCCACTGCCTCTGCTCGATTGGCTCTGGCCTCCTGTTTGTCCACCATCGGTGGCTGTACCTTCAGCCCCAATATTCAGGAACTCTCTCTCTCAATCACAGTCTTTCAACAACTTCATGATTCAAATTCTCCAACTTGAGCCAAATGGCAATTTGTGCTGTGGAGTAATGAAAACAATGGATGTTGCTCTAACTTATTTCACCTAAGATTCATTTGCGGAGTAGACATTCGACCTGGGTCCAGATTTACTCTATTTTCTTAGCATTTCAGAGTGTCCAGAATTTAGCAAATTCTTAACTACCGTCTTACTTTTGAAGCCTTTCTTCTATAAGTTCTTTTAATAATTACAGAAAAACAGCTTTAAAGTTACGACTGAAATCAATGATTTGCCAAATTCTGCAAATTTGGCAAACACTTAAGAAAGTAGAGCAAATCTACTCCAGGTGGAACTTTTCACCCAATGCAGCTGCCAATGAGAAAATATTTTGTTTCCATCTGTATAGGCTGATTTCAAACTCAAGACCCACAAATAAAATGATGATCGATATTCTGTGCTGCCCGATTGATTACTAATTACAGTGCCATTCTTAAGTACTTTACCTCCCCAAGTTCCACCATAAGTTCACAGTATCTCTGGATCTGACCTAGTCTCAGATGAATCTCAGCTGCCTCCTTAAGTCTCTCCTCCTTGCTCGGAGCCCCAATTCCACCTCCAAACTTGAACATCTTCACGGTTGTTAACTCTTGGGCTTCAGACTGAGGAAAGCAAATTCAGCTTGAAGTAACTCACATGTATTTAGTAATATCAGCACACAAAGTGACACTGCCCTTAAAAGCAGAGATGGCTTCATACTACACTTTGGGCTATTCGTTACGATGTGCTTATAATTGTCACTCTATTTATCATGCATCTCTTTCAGCAGCACATCAGAAATTATGTCTATGCTTAAAATACTTAATATCCCACAAGTGTCACACCCACAAAACCCCATGCACCTTTCCGGAGACCTGAAATTCCTTTTGGTGTTAGCCTTAAGACCGCTGTTACAAAATTGTAATTTTTACAAAAATGTACCACTTCCTTTACTTAGCACACTACTAGGTCTTTCAGCAATTAATACTTGAATACTGTTAATAAACCACTGATGAAAATAGATTAAAAAGGACAGCATGTAAATAGAAAAAAATTACAAATGTAAAGAAAGAAATGGAGATATTAACCAGAAACTTATATTTCTGATTCTTTCTCATATCCATTATCTGATTCTTAATAAAAAAATAAATTGATTAATAGGTTTTAGAAATAGAATATTGAATGATTGTCTTTAACTTTAATTCCAGACAGATGGATCACATAGTTCTTTGCACATTTCCTATGTTTCTATATACATCTAAAACAAGCAAAGAATTTTAATAATAGTATCATTATTAGTATTGAATTATAGCTATTTTAATGACATTTTGATTGCACATAAAGAATGCATTATTTTGAATTATACAAGTGTGCTTTGTATAAAATTACTGTTCAATTTGCATTGTTCAAATATTTTTCAATACTCATTTGTGCATTGATCTTGTTACGTGTTTATGTTGCTCACTTCTTTTAAAACTGTAAAACTCTGAAAGAAATCTTACTTGATGCGACTTACAGTTTTGAACCTGACCAGATGTTTCATGTGCATGATTCCTTTGCAGTAGTTCTGTGGAAGTAGACTGTCATCTTGGTCTTTTAAAACAGCCACCAGGTCCCAGAGATTCTTGCTACCCCCAGGAGGCTAAATAAGAAGAGACACAGGTTTGTGAATCTCTGTGTTGTGGTCAGCTGGATGTCTGACACATGTAAAAAACCATCACCATGCTTAAGACTATCCAAACCAAGTTGAGAATTCCATGCATCTCACATGTAGATGGAAATTGCAGAGATATTTATTGGAATGGAATGCTCACTCTCTCCCTGGAGGGATGTATCCTGCTTATCCAATTCCGGAAAGTATTCAGTGCAGGTTGGCAAGAGCCAAGGCTTGGGGACTCCAGAGTGTGCGTTAGGGTACTACTGGAGTCTAACCAGATAAAATCGCATAGCTATCATTGATATTGTTGTCTGCCAAGCTTTCCCACTGCTTTTCCAGCTGGAACCACCCTACCCGTTAAAGCTTTGGCTTGCAGGGTTAACAGTAGTCATGTGGGAAGAATCACTGTCCCCAGTGACTGGTCTGCCCTTCCAGGTCCAGTCAATGAGCCAGGTTGGTTGAACTGTCATCAACAGTGCCCTGGAATACTACAGACCTGCGTGGCTCAGGAACTGGACCACAGAGACCACAGAGACCACAGAGGGTAGACTTGATTCTGAGATTCTGCTGCAAGGAGATTCAGCTCCAGTTAAGCTCTCAGGAGCTTATCTCCCCCCCAAACACACACAAGCAGGATAATCATGAATCTCCTTGCGCCATCTGAAGCTATTGCCTGCTTTACCGCATAAACAAACTATGGGATGAAAAATGCATTGTTTTATAACAGATTCAATGTAACAATTACCTCCTGTTGTGTTTATACTACCAGGAGTGAATGAATCTTTGTATAATAATCCTTGTATTTGATATATCGCTTTATCATGAGTCAAAATGTCTCAAAGCGCTTCAAACATTTACTCAAATGTGTAGTGACCACTTGTATATTTGCATACAGCAATGTCCTACAAACAGCCTTCAATTGGACAACCATTTGATTTGAGGGATTGTTGGCCAGGAAATTGGGACAAACTCCTTTCTCTTTTTGAATTGTATTACGGCATCTTTAACATAATGCATTAATTAACACCTTTGGTACTAATTAACATGTAGTGAGCTTGTGATAATTAACATATCAATTGATCACTGGATGGAATGGAGGAAGATTCCCCTATCCACTCAACGCCCGACTCAGTGGTGCCGCTTCACTGGCCTCTCACATCAGACTTCCAGCTTAGCGGGATACCATTTTTAGTGAATGGGGTCAGATGGGGTGTTCTGCTTCTAACACTGGGGACCAACTGAAGTGTTAAATATCCTTCAATTCAATGCATGTGTTAATTAGCATTCTAGATGTTAATTAACACTAAAATTATTACCATATTCACTCCATAATGTGGTGGTCTATATCTTGCACCACTTTTATTGAATGCATTAATCAGGCCTTAATCAGGCATTAACTTATGGGAAACAGAGCAACTCTGTGAGTGGCTGCCTGCATGCTTTCCTGCACTCATGAGGGCTATTGCGGGCTGACTGGCCAGCTTCCTGCATATTGCACATGTGCAATTTGGAGATTCTTGGCAGTAAACTGGGAAAAAATTTAGCTTTTTTTAATAGTGCCATGGGATATTTATGGTCTCAAACAGACAGACACAGGAAACTTTCCGAAATTAAATTAGTCAGCTCATGTATGCTTACTGTATATTAAATAAATGACAGGAGAAGTTATGCCGCCTGCAGAGTAAAATACCTCCCTGTGAAAATCTTCAGTTTACAGCGATGAGCTCATATCAGCCTGCTGAAAGCTAGACCAGGCCTTTCCTTTCATCTAAAATAAATGTCTTCTTCCAAATGTTTTCTAACTCGGAAGGAAATCGCACGCCATGTCAACAAATGTAGTGAGAATGACGGGTAACACATAAAGACTTACAGACAGGCATTCTGAGAACCATCGTAACTTCTTTATTCGGACATTACCCGTGAGCTTATCCAGCTCTTGTTTGATATCTCGGGATACTTTACCACACAGTAGAGGAGGAGCAGCTGGTGTCATAGCTCGGTCTGAAACAGAATTAAAAAATAAATCAGCAAATCATTGACGTGTTTGATAGACAATGTGATAAGGCGCTAGCGTTAAACTCTCAGGACCACAAATGCAATCTCACTCTAAATTTTCATTATAAACGAGACAACACAAAATGTATAAATGAAATTATAACATTTGCATAAATATTAAAATAAACACATTTACTGATGATACAGTACTGTGCAAGTCTGCTTTAGGCTTCAGTTTTCATCAGCTGCAAATAGATTTACAGTATTTATCTTTACCACTGTATAATGTGAGAGAGCTCTTTTTGGGTAATTTAACATGTTTAATTTATAGTCGAGAGAACTACAGATAGTTTTCTGAAAGCACACATACCAGTATTCCCAATTATTTCTTCCCACTGCCTCTCAGCCAAGATGTTTATTTGGAGCGGGGAAATTAAAGGTGTTAATGACCACAGCCTTACGGTGGAGTCTCTGGAACATGATGCCATGGTGAAAGGACGGCTCGGGTGGCAGGTTAGACCTGGGTGATAAAATGAAGACCATGTAATTGCAGCTTAAATTCATTGAATTCAAATTTCCAAAACGGGCAAAATATATAGCGTTCTGATCAAATCACACCTAAGGTAGTGCATACAATCTAGTCGTTGTGACGCCTCACTTCGCAGTAAATCATGTGGAAACATTTGGATGACTTGATAATGTCAATTTACATTTATATAGTGTCTTTCACATCAGGAGGATGTCTCAGAGGCAGTGCAGAGAGCAGCAACAAGGATGATCCGCAGTGTTTTTTGAGATGAGCAATGAGCAACTATCATTTGAATTGGTTGAATTGGTTGCATAATTAAAGCAATTTATAACTCCCTATGTACACAAGGTTTACATATGGCACATTTGTTCTTGTCTTTCCAAAATACCACATTCTAACATCTTCCCATGTCTGCATCAAGCTGCTTCTTAAGTGAGTTACAGAATCCTGGACATTACCTGAATTAATGGGTGCCTTTAATTACCAGCTGTGTAAAGAAATACTTTGGGCTCTATCCTGAAGTCCCCCTTCTCGTGTGTTATTTAGACTGTTGCACAGCTTGGAACCATCATGTAACAAGTCTGAAGACTGTAACCTTAGAATAAAGGTACCCACCCTTCCCATAATCTTCAAATTATATTACATTTATGTTAAATTGTTGCATAATGCCCACTCCCTGCCCTTGTAAAACCAAGTGACTCCTTAGACCAATATCAGCCATTGCAGTGGGATTGTGTGCAGCTGTTTCAGAGTCTTGGCTGTCACTATCTTTCACAGATTTGATAATGTCTTCAGTGGATGCAAGTAAAGGTCAGAGTGTTCTCAATGATTCATGAATACTTCTGAAAAACAATATTAGTCAAAGTGCATTACCTCAGTAATGTTTTCAAATAATTCTTCCAAAGTGAATGCTCAGCAAACTGCCTTCAGGAGATTGTATGATAATTTTATTGTATAATAATTTGTCAGAATACATTAACCCACAATAAACAACTTTTTTAAAAAAATTAACAGGTTTATCATGAGATTAGTTTTAAAACGGTATAACAATTGCCTTGCATCAATTTTAGATTGTTCATATAAATTCAAAAAGGAAATTGTTATATTTTAAAGCTGATTCAAGAGTAATATTTTCAGTGAATAAATTACAGCACTAAATGAAAAACTTTTTTCTAATGGTTAGGATAGATAAAGTTAAGAGTAGGGAAGTCTTGCAGCAGTTGTATAAAGCCTTGGTGAGACTGCACCTAGAATATTGTGTGCAGTTTTGGCCTTATATTCTTATTTAAGAAAGGACATACTCTCCTTAGAGGTGGTGCAGCGTAGATTCACTAGGTTGGTTCCTGGGTTGAGGGGGTTGACCTATGAGGATAGGTTGAGTAAACTAGGCCTATATTCTCTAGAATATAGAAGAATTAGAGGTGATCTTATAGAAATCCATAAGATTCTTAAGGATCTTGATAGAGTAGATAGTGTGAGACTGTTTCCCCTGATTGGAGAATCTAAAACTAGGGCTCATAGTCTCAAGTTTAAGGGTCAGCCTTTTCGAACTGAGTTGAGGAAACATTTCTTCACTCAGAGGGTAGTAAATTTGTTGAATTCTCTACCCCAGAAGGCTGTGGATGCTCAGTCCTTGAACATATTCAAGAATGAGGTTGATAGATTTCTAAAGGATAGAGGGATTAAGGGATATGGGGATAGAGCGGGTAATGGAATTAGGTTAGAAGATCAGCCATGATCTTATTAAATGGCAGCGCAGGCTCGAGGGGCCGAAAGACTCTGAAACAGCTGCACACAATCCCACTGCAATGGCTGACATTGATCTAAAGAGTCACTTGGTTTTACAAGGGTAGGGAGTGGGCATTATACAACAATTTAACATAAATGTAATATAATTTGAAGATTATGGGAAGGATACCTTTATTCTAAGGATACAGTCTTCAGACTTGTTACATGATGGTTCCAAGCTGTGCAACAGTCTAATAAAACAGTCGTGGGTTGAGTGATCAAAGGATGAAGTTGATGAGCTTGTGAACCCTGATCAGGAAAGGATATGACCTGCAAAATTCTGGAATGACTGCCACTTGTGTAGGGAAGATTTAGGGAATGAGAGTGCTATATCAAATGCAAAGATTGTTCTATTTGTATGCTTTGCAACATAAGCTGATGATCATTCCAAATACTAGCAATGACAAGTCAGTAGAATATCAAAGGTTTCAGATAAGATCAACCACAAGATCAAAGTTTCAGAATGTGCTACAGGGTAAGGATCAACCCTGAGGTGTTGTATTGCTTTGAAACATGCACATCCGATATTCTACACAACTCACAGATTATCTTTAGGAAAAGGTAATGAAACTCAACAGTGACAATAGGCATGTGACTGAAGCTCAAGTGAGATACAGAGAAAATTGTTGGGTGCCAGTAAACACATGTATTTCTATTCCAAAGGCTGCTGACAAGCATATGTCCTTCTAGTTACTACAGAATATCTTTTTTTACACAAAAAGAGCCCAATTTAAAGTGAAACGATTAACAACTCTGCCTTAAACGAAACATTGACAATTTAAATGGAAAATAATTATAGGGGACGTAATTTATAACTTTACAATAGAAGTTTATTCTATTTAGTTCTACACCTGAATTAGGAATGGGATCTAATGGAAATATATTGATAGAAAGTACAGCTCAGAAACAGGCCATTCAGCCCATCCAGTTCGACTGGTCCTTATACTCCAAATGAGTGGCAAGGATAATTTGGGAATTTTATGTCTGGATTAAACATATTCAAATTCTGAGCAATAACAGCAACAATACAGATTAAGAACAATGCTCCACTAACTGGCCTCATGTTCTCTATATCCGAAATACCCATAAACTCATTAAAGATGAGCAAAACAGTAAAAGAAAAATCAGCCATTACCATAAACATCTGCACCATGGTCATAAACAGTATCTAGACAGGTTCCATCCCTTGTATCCCAAACACGAATAGTGTAGTCCCAGCTGCCCGATATCAGAAGATAGGGAATTTCTGTGTTCCACAGTAGACCTCGAACAGGGGCCGTGTGTCCACTTAGAATATTTATACAGGCATCTTGTGTATAGTCCCATATTCTTACAGTACTGTAGAAAGAAAATACATTGTGACGAAAGCTTAGAGCATTCAACAACCTGAAAAAGAATAAATCTGAATACAGCTCTCATAATAAATAATGTGGTTCTGAACAGCAATTTCTTTTGCACTCTTTTTGTGAAGTTGAACTATTCTGTTCCAATTGAAAAAGACACCAGTAACCAATTAACACGTTCAATATTCTTGAAAATTCCAAGACAACCATTTTGTGTCTTCACTCATTTAACTTGGGATAGCCACCACTTATGATTTAAAACATTATATTTATATCTGCACGCAATTGCAAACGAAAATTCTAACTCAATATATGGTACTACAGGCCCCAAATTCCCTTGTTTGCTAATGATGGTAAAGTGTAGATGTTCATAAACATGGGTAGAATATTGGTCACTCGCAAACTACTTTGCTCCTACCTGCATTAAAAAAACTGAAAATCGATGGGTGGCGGGGAGGGAGGGAAACTGTTTTTATTAAAGCATTTTAAGGAAAAATTAAAGAGAGAATCCCTCATCATTCTTAATCTGAGAAAACACAATGAAAGTAAGTACTGGAGAGCGTGAAGTGTGAATTGACAATGCAAAGAATGGTATACTCACCATCATGAGGTGGGGGGTGGGGTTGGAGTGGGTGTGTGGAGGGGAGGGGTGTGGAGGGAGGGTGGCATTGTGGTGGGGGTTGGAGATGGAGAGCGAAATGGGTCTATCACGCACTAATACTAGTGATCTCTTTGTTTTGGATTCTAAACACATCACGAAAAATGGCTAATGTTATCGAGCAACACGTGACAGATTCTTGCGTGAAATCTTCAGTGGATTATGTTTTGGCAGATGTTTTTTGGTCAGCATTGTGTAGGCGACACAGCAGAGAAAAGTTGCACTTCCTGTTCGTTTCTTTTTTGCTTATCCTCAGTCCTGGATTAGGAAACCCAAACTTCCAGGTTTAAAAAAAAATGTTCAAATTATTGTAATTAAACAAGAGATTTTACATGATCAGATAAAGTAGCATTGCATGTTATTGGTAACTATAAATAATAGCCATTTGGGACCTTTGTATCTCGAGTAAAGTACCTGTCATCAGAACCACTGCAGAGAATACCCTCTCTCAGAGGGGACCACCTGACATGAAACACTTTGGCCGTGTGGCCAGTGAAGACCTTCAGTGGCTGGTCAGAGCTGGTTGCTAGATAGTAAACTCGCACATTTTTGTCCTCGCAGCCAGTTGCTATCATGTCTCTGAAAATGAATCAAGAAGCATATATGTATTCATAATTAAAATAACAATAATCCTTGCATTTGGTATAGCTCCTTATCATGTCATCGAGACATCTTAAAGTGCTTCACAGGATATACTGTAAAATGGATTGACTGTGTACATTTAAAGTTAAAATAAAAAAATTAACAATTATTAAAAATCTAATTTTTTTTTAACCTGAAACACTTCTCTACCGGTACAGAGCAAAGCTGCCACCAGCCACTCTGCTGTGAACTCTGAGCCCCAGGTCCAGCCTCAGGGAGCAAAGCCCCTGGTGTGACATGTTCCACACCAACAATCCTTGTAATCTCTCTGAGGAGGTCAACCTTGTACTGATCACAAAAGGTTGTGAGTATTGTGACGTGTCGATCAAAATAAATCCTTTGATGACCTGAGTAACTTTTTTTTGTGCCAACTGGAGTCACTTTGATGCTATGGGTCAACCTGGGTCATAGAGGACTCTTACAAACAGCAAAGAGACGACTTTTATCTCAGCAAGCTGGGTCAGATTTGAACAAAGGTCCCAAAGGTGAAAATATTATGTCCAGTCTCCTTTTATTATTTTTTTTACTATTTCCGCAGTCTTTCTGCTGACTTCTCCTGTACTGTTCTTAACCAAGCTGGACATCTTCCTTTCCACCAATGCTGCTCTGTAAACAACCCTCTATTGATTTTCTCCACCTCCTTATGAGAATGTGCCTCATCATTACGCACCACCCCCCTACAGCAGGGGGAAATCTATCAACTGCATTACTGCAAGAACAATCCCACATCTCATCACTCCACATTGTGGAATGTGGAGCTCCAACATGCTGTGCTGCTGTGCCATAATATTCAGCAAGCTCAATTATAACTGAGGTATTTCTTACCAGGATTCCTTGATAAGGAATATGAGTTGTGCAAATGGGGACTTCTTCAAGTCACCTCAAGTCGTCAAACAGATCCCTAGGAATCCATTTCAACTTGATCTATGTTCAGAGTGGAATTCCCACAGGTTAAGAAATACCATTAAGTAATGTCACAAACTAGATCTCATTATTCCTAGATGGCCGAGTAGCTACTCTTAAGTGTTGGACAGTCAGCTTGGGGACTTAAGATCAATTCTCACTTAAAATTTACACTTAAGATTTCGCTACTGGGCAAGCTTTTCCAATCACATTTGGATCAACTTGGGAATGAAAGAAAAGGCTAGGAATAAAGATCATTTTCTGCTTTCTGCAAGCACACTTCCTCTCCTCAAGGTGTTGCTACATTGGTGACATTTGGAAGATACCCTTTAGTCACAGGTTAACACAATGATTCAATGGGGGAATGGAGAGAAAGGGTAAAAGTCACAAAATTGCATAAAAAAGGCAATCAGTTTACTACAGGCTAGTTTCTAGCCTCCTGAACAAACAGGAGTTTCACAAGGAAATGGCCTCAAAATATGTTGCTAGCATAAAGTACATCTAAAAGTAATGACAGAGTAAAGAGCTTACTTACTTATTGTTTTGGCTCCAATCGCACCCAAACACAGCAGCTGAATGCTTATACTTGTGTAGAACTTTACCGTCAACCGTTCGAATAATGCTGCAATGGACAATACATTAATGATGCAATAAAACCTACGTCCACATGATCGACCAAGCCCACTGTACAGAATGAGACTTACTCCTTAATTATGCCATCGTGGCTGTTCGCAGCAGAATTGCTAATACTGTATTTCGATTCTAATAGTATAATCTTCCAAGAAAAATCCATAAGATTATTTAAAATTCAGTCCTGTAGCTCTCACTTTGCAAGTGAGAGACCTGAGTTCAATTCCAGGCAGAGCGAATCCTTGGGCAAGTTTCCTTACTCCACACGCCTAATAATAATCCCTCCAAAAAACAAAAAACAATAATAAATTGGTCATTTTCAATCTACGACTGTTTGTGGGACATTGCTGTGCGCAATTGGCTGCCGCGTTCGCCCACAAATATACAGTCAATTCACTTTAGTGTGTTCTGTGAAGTGCTTTGGGACGTCCTCCCGACGTGAAAAGCGCTATATCAAATGCAAGGATTATTATTATATTACTCCACTCCTCCGGTTACCTAGCAGTAAATAGGAACCAAGTTAGTCGATTTGCAGATTGTTTTTCCAGGGATAATAGTCCCTTAAAAAAAATTGGTCAGTTCAATCCATAACTGTTTGTGGGACACTGTTGTGCGCAATTGGCTGTCGCGTTTCACCCACAAATATACAGTCAATTCACTTTATAGTGTATTCTGTGAAGTGCTTTGAGACGTCTAGAAGACATGAAAAGCACTATATCAAATGCAAGGATTATGATTATTATTATATGACATACTATTGCTACTATAATGTCAGGGGCACATTTAAAACACACCTAGGCCGACACACCACTGCCACTTCATTCTTCCTGAGACATTAAGGCGTACAGTTTTGCTGGAGGGCTTTTACTTCTGCTATATAGTTGCAATAGTCCTGCCTTCAACTAGAATTCTTTCTTGCTTTCTCTCAATGGAAAGAAACAGTAAGAAAGGGAAGAGTGTAAGGGGGACTAGAGGCCTGATGTTCCTCATGGTCTTAGCCATTAAGACCTAACTTAAAATTTAAGCTCATACAGAATTTTTTAAAATGTCATAAAATAAAGGCTCTATGTAATAATAAAATAATAATATTCCTTACATTTGATATATCACCTTTCAAATCAGGAGGATATCCCAAAGTGCTTCACAGGATAGACTTTAAAGTGGTGAGACTTTTTTGTGGGCGAATGTGGCAGCCACTTTGCACACAGCAATGATGACCAACAAACTGCAATGAAGTGAACAACCAATTCATATTTGGGAGATTGGTGGTCAGGAGCTTGGGAGAAACTCTCTTATTGTTTAGAATTGGGCCATGGGATCTTTAGCGTCATTTGAACAGGCAAATGGGATTCGTTTATTGTTTCAAACAAAGGAGTCTTAATTTGGAAGCTGATTTACCTCAGGTCTGGGTCTCTCCATTCTAAAAAAAATGCACCCCTTTGTGTAAAATGCTTGCGACTGCTAACAATTCTGTACTCTATTCACAGCTAAAAAAATAAAGATTACAAAACCAACACTTACCAGTACCCATCCGCACTGCATGTTGCTATTCTCTTAGAATCCTTGTGACTCCATGCAATGCAGAATATTCCATTTTTACCATGCTAAAGGAACGACAAATGGCAATTACAACTACTGCCATCGTACTCAAATAAAAATCCCACCTAGCCTTAAGTTATAAGACCGTTTTAACAACGTGATGAACATGTTGTAATTTTCACCCCAGGTTTATTGATGGCACAAGTGTAATTCAATGCTTTCCACCTTAACCTGGGGGGAAATCTGGATTACTAATAGTTTATATCAATAGTCATAAGTATGCAACATCTTTCACATCAGGAGGCCATCCCAAAGAGCTCAATATTACCGGTTGGGTAGCCAAGCTAGGAGTAAAAGTCAAAAGCTAGGTTAGATGTGGGGGGGATAAGTGATTTAGGAGAGGACTATCGATTAATTATTCATAATTTAAAGTGCCATACTTCAAAAACATATTAAGCAGAACTGCAGATTTTTGGAAAGCAGATCCTTCAGAGATCCGGGTAAGTAGGCAATGAAGTCAAGTATTTATTAAGTGTTTGTGTATTTCCAGTGTAACCAGGAAAGAGAGATTAGAATGGCCTATTTTGAATAGCTCTCTCATTCGTTCTTCCCACCACAGTAAATGATTAATGACGATCATCTTGTCAATTCCTTTATGGCGTTTTGAGAAAGGAACAGCAGGGATGAGAATGTTTTTCCAAAAAATAATCAGCATTTTGTTGCTTTCATGAAACTAGGTCACCAAGAGAATGAAAGAAATCTTCAATTAATTCTTAATTTCAAAGCAACCTTTTCACATTTCTTAAACTTAAAAGAGAAGCTTCAAGTTTAAAAAAAAATCAGTTTTTTTTAGTTAAATGGATCATTATAATGAGAATGTGTTGACACCTTTGCATTGGAGATTTGGCCAGATAGACAACACTGCCTGTGTTTCAATTGTACTGCCTTGCTGAATACTGTATAACAAACTCAGGCATCTTGGTTTCATTCCAGATTTACTAGTGACACAAGGGATGGTGAATTCAATGCTTCCCACTTTTTCCTGGGGAATATCACCCTGGATCTGGGGTGGACTATGATTTAGGAGAGGACTATTGATTAACCTTTCATTAATTCAGAGTTGTCTACTCTGAACGCATATGAAGCAAAATTAGAGATTTTGGACAACAAATTTTGAGACCCTGTTTACCATCTCAACCGAAGGACGGCACCTCCAACAATGGAGCACACACACAGCATTGCACTGGGAGCATCAGCCTAGACAATATGAGTTCCAAGTCTCAACTTGGGGCTTCAATTCTACAGTCTTCTAACTCAGAAGATTAGCCCCCTCCAACCACAGGGGTCAGTATTAGGTACTTTTTTAAAATATATATATTAATGTCATGGACTTAAGTATAGAGAGCAACATTTTACAGTTTGCCGATGACCCAAAACTTGGAAACGTAGTAAACAGTGAGGAGGATGGTAGTCGACTGCAGGAGGACATAGACAGACTGGTGAAATGGGCAGACAAATGTCTCATCTAAAGGGCCGTTCAAAGGAAGAAATGTCAGTTAAATACATGAAAAACGGGAGGAAAAAGAATCCAAGGGAAGTGATGGATGGAGCCAATAGTAACTACACCATTCAAACAGTTTTTCACAGTTCTCAAGGCATGCACACCACTACCCATTTCTATAGATCAATTCTTCTCACCAATGTCAGAAGGCAACACTTACCTCATTAAACCTTGTGATCAATTTGCCTTTTCTTACATCCCATATGAAAGCCCCATTGCGAGAGGTTGCACCCGCAATACAATTCAAGTCTCCTTTAAGCAAATAAAATTAAATGATTATCTGATGTGCAGCTGTGACTGCCTGCCATTTCTATCAACAACAACTTGCATTTACATAATGCCCTTCTCAGAACAGCCATGAAATGAATGGCCAATTTTATTTGGGGGATTATTGGGCAGGACTCTGAGAGAAACTCCCTTCTCTTTTTCAAATAGTGCCATTGGATCTTTAACATACACCTGAACAAGCAGATGGTACTTTGATTCAATATTTCATCCAAAGGACCCAGATTCTTGGTAAGACATGGCCAACGACAACTTTCTTTCTGATTTCTTACCTGGGGCCCAAGACAATGAGTAGATAACCCCCTCATTTCCTGGAGAGGTGTACACTGCTGTCAACGTGTTTATATCCCACACTTTTATTGTCCCATCAAACGATGCCGTTGCCAGGAGGTTGGGATCATCCGGTTTGAATTTACAATCAAATATTGTTTCAACATGACCCTAGAATACAAAATAAAACTTTCTGCCTTTGTTGGGGTTTTCTAACTATTATTTGAGAAAATTTGAGGTATTCCTTATGTAGTCCTTAATTACTGGCACTATCATTAAATTTAGCAGTGTTTAGTGTGAGCTACTTTCATACAAACCCCCTTGTAATACACTGTCTTGCCATTAGGTGATAGTCCAATAAATGACAGCCAGATAAGTTAGATTTGAATTGGCTGTAGGGAATGAAACAAAACGTAGTTGTTTAGGGAGCTAGGTCAAAATGGGGTAAGTATTACGTGGGGTGCCTCAAAATTTTGCACTGTGATCTTTATGTTTCTTATGTATGTTAATGATCTATATTCACAGAATCAGAATGAACAGAAAGTTGGTCATTTTAGTGCAAACAGCTATCCAGAGCTCAGGAATCAAGTACAAGCGCAATGAACATGGTCCACGATGCAACTGCGTGCTAAGCAATTCTGCTCTATTGTGAAGGATGTGATAGCAGGCTACACTGTATGTATGGTAAATTAACAATATATTTGTTTTTTTGATTGTATTATATAAAGAAAATTGTTCTTGGAGCATACCAGATCTCGGAGAAAGTCCCACTTCTTACTCCCCATGTCATAGAGCCCCACTCCACCATCCATGAAACAGCAAACCACATGCCCAGGAGGAAGAGAGAAAGCGTGATTCTGAGACAAGGTAGGAGGGGGAACAGCTTCACTTGTTGATGACGTGTGGTGATTCTTTGTAGGGGAATGTGCAGAAAAAGCTGAAAGAAAGATGCTAAAATATATTTCCTCATATTACTCTCTCTAATATATGTGTACTTACTGTATAACATTTCAACAGCACATTAAGACCTTAGAAAAAGAGGATGTAGGTTTAGGATTGCAAAGGGCAAATTCAGGACATACACCAGGATGTTTTTCTTTACCCAGAGAGCAATTGGAGTCCTGTAGCTCAGTGGTGGAGTCCTGTAGCTCAGTCGTGGAGTCCTGTAGCTCAGTGGTTAGAGCACTCGCTTTGCAAGTGAGAGACCTGAGTTCAATTCCAGGCAGAGGGCGAAACCTTGGGCAAGTTTCCTTACTCCACACGCCTAATAATAATAATCCCTCCAAAACCCAAAACAATAACAAATTGGTCATTTTCAATCTACGACTGTTTGTGGGACATTGCTGTGCGCAATTGGCTGCCGCGTTCGCCCACAAATATACAGTCAATTCACTTTACAGTGTGTTCTGTGAAGCGCTTTGGGACGTCCTCCCGATGTGAAAAGCGCTATATCAAATGCAAGGATTATTATTATTATTATTATAATTAATGACAGGAACAGGTTGCCAAAAAGGGTGGTTGAGGCCAGGACACTGGATTCATTTAAAAAAAACAGCTTGGTGCTGTGATGGGAAGTCAAAATACATAATCATAACACTTTACACTCAATCCTGTGAAACACCTTGAGATGTCCTCCCAACATGAAAGGTGCCATATCAAATGTAAAAATTATTGGTATTATTATGAAATGATGAGATCAAAGGCCCTTCTTCATCCAAACCAATCTTGTGATCTTGTGACCTAAGTATTCTTGAAAAACACTGATATCATTTGGAGGGGTTTGCCTATCCTTGGAAGTACCCATATGTATTTATGACATCAATCATGTTAGATAAATCTGATCTTCAGCACAGTATTAGCATATAACCTTTCCAATCAAGGAAAACAAAATCGTGATAAGTAAATTTCTTCCAGGAATGATAAGTTCTACAACTAGGCTGTATTTATTTTTTGTGTGATTCATAAAATAATCTTTGCATTTGACAAGCACCTTTCACGGCAGGAGGACATATTAAAAAGCTTCACAAGGTATACTGTAAAGTGTGTATTTTGTAGGCAAATGTGACAGCCAGTTTGACCATAGCAATGTCACACAATAGCCATTAAGTGAGTAATTTCTTTATTGGGATATTGGGGGAGTATTGGCCATGTGACCAAGAGGCATTCCCTGGTATTTCCAAATCATTTTTTAAAAATATAGTTTTTCGAATCTCACCCTCAGCTTTGGTTTCCAGTCAGGATTGTGAAGTGCTTTGGGACGTCCTTCGAACGTGAAAGACGCTGTATAAGTCTGTATTGTATAGTGCCATGGGATCTTTAACATCCAGCTGGTAGACACATCAAAGCAGCACCCTCCTTGACACATATTATAAGATGCTATAAATGCAAGTTGTTGCTGTCAGCATGGTTACTTGTGACTGCTATGTGGGAGATTCTACCAAATGGGGCTTTAGGATCTTTGAGAAGCTACTACCGGGTACTCAGTACTTGGCCTTGACAATCCCTGTTGGCAAGAATCAATTGATAATCCCTATTGATAATCTGTAACTGATTACAACAACAACAAGATTACCCCTGTTATTAATTGGTGTTCGAGTGGATCCCGGAGAGTTATCCTGAGAATCACCTCAGATCCTGCTGGATCCATTACTTGCAAATCTTGTAAATTGGACCTCGCTGATTCGAATCTTCAGAAATGCTTTCACGGAGAGGTGTTTGTTTTCAAATTACTACAAGTACTTACATTTTTTCTTTGGTGGAGAATTCAACACGTGCAAAGCATGAAACCCAGTTTTCTTCAACTTGAAGTTATCTATTGGTGTTGTTCTGGAGACATTCCAAACACGCATGACACCAACCTGAGAATCTAATAAATGAAAAAGAGGATAAAAATTGACATGTCCAAAAATTCTACTGAGCCTGTATGACCATTTTCTAATAAAATTTACAATTGGGCAGAATTGTAGAAAATTCTTAAATTCAGTCTTAACTTGGAATATGATTTTATGTGCTAAAACTAGGCAGAATTTGAGTCCCCAGAAATAACTAGACAGACATTTTATTGACCAATGAATGTAACCATCTCCAAAATATCTTCCTGGACACGGATCCCTCTTTACATATCGACTATAATTAAGTATTTTGCCAACGCAGTTTTATCTATTTGGTTATTGTCACGAGCACAACATTCTCAACTTGTTTAAGTGCTTCGTTCAATTGACTAGGAAAGGATGCTGAGGAGAAGCTAAGGAAAATCAGCAAAGGCCAAGAATGTGGTAGCGTTCTCATCTCTTACTCACAAGATTGTGGATTCAGGTCCCACGTCAGGATTTACTCTCTAATGCAGTGCTGAGGAGGCACTGCTTTGTCAGAGGTAGTGTCCTGTGGATGAGATGTTAAATCAAGGTCCTGTTTGCCTGTTCAGGTGAATGTTAAATATTCCACAGCATTATTTGAAAAGAAAAATGGGTTTCTCCCTGTATCCTGGCTAACAACCTTCCCAAATAAAATTGGTCATTCACTTCATGGCTGTTTGTCAGACATTGCTGTGTGTAATTTGGCTCCTGCAAAATACAGTCACTGCACTTTATAGTAAATCCTGTGAAATGCTTTGAGTCGGCCACCCCACATGTAAGGCACTATATCAATTCAAATGACATGAATAACAAATTGCATTTATATAGCGTCTTTCACATTGGGAGGATGTCCCAAGGTGCTGAGAAGTCGAGGGTTTGCACTCAAGCTGGGGGTTGGATTCAGGAGGGGTGGAGACCATGGGGTTAGGGAGGGGAAAGATGACCTAAGGCATGGTTAATGAGGAAGGTCTTGAGATGGACTAGAAGGAGGTGACAGAAGAGGCGAGGCGAAGGGATTCCGGGATGGAGTTCCAGAGCGTGGGCACAAAAAGGCTCAAAGCCTAACTGTCAATGATGGGGCGGGACAGATCGGGCCACGTGAAGCAGCCCAATGCCTGCTGAGGGGAGTGGGTTGGTAAGCTGATCATTAATATGATAGCTGCAGTCACTTTAAATCATTGGAATGGTTAATAGTTGGTAGCTCCACTGGAGCTCACGCAGAGACAGAACTAATGACCTGAAAGACTGCAATTCCATTCAGTACCTGCCCACCCAGTAGGATCTGACAGTAAGGCAGCTCCAATCTTAGATAATAATAATCCCTCCATTTCACACTGCGCAAGTAAAAATGAAACATCTCAAAGCGCTTTACAAGCAATTGCTGTCAAGTGTGTTTTTGTAGGAAAACCATGCAGTTAATTTTCACATATGAATGACCCACAAAAAGCCACAAAGAAAATCATAATTTTTTCTGCAGGACACTGAGAGATACTCAGTTCTCTTGTCGAACAATTCCATGAAATCTGTACAATTCACCTGAATAGGCAGACGGAACCTAGGTTTAACATCTCAATTGAAGGACGGCACCTATGTGAAACTGGAAAAGTAGTACTCTCACGGTGCCACAGTGAAATGTCAAAAGACACTGAGTCCCTGATGAGCTCAAGTTCCAATGTATGGCCTGAAGCCACAATCTTCTACCCCAGAGGCAAGCGTGACTGAGCTAAGGTGACACGCGAGGAAGGTAAGGACTGACACCAAAGGCATAATTCCACTGACAGCTCAGTTACAAATTAACATTTGAGCTTACACGGATACGAAATCTAACATTTAAGGTGAAGTTTGTATCAGAACTGGCTCCTGGATCCAGATCTTACACTGAAAGTTGAACTCACCAGAACGAAACTCAGCAGACTTTAAGGGTGTGATTTGTCAGATCCACGCTACTTTCAATCAGGCTATGAAAATCAAACTCTCGTGTTTTTTTTAAACTTACAAGGAGCAGGTCATATGAGTGTCTTTAGTAATGTGAATAACATATATACTAACGTAAATAATATAACATAAGAATATACTAATAATAACATGAGAACAGGTCATACAACTGACTTCAACAATGTTAATAATGTATATACTGAATACTAATATAATTATGTAACATATAGTAATAAGTTATAACAATAACATAATGATATACTTGTAATAACATATAACTGGCTTCATTAATGTGAAGATGCTCTGCACAAGGCTGGACCACTTGAGAGCTTTGAGCAGACTTCAGAATATAAGCCCCGTGCCTGGGTGTCAAACACATTGCTCCTGAAACCAAGATCACAACTCTCTCTCAACCAGTTTATTCTATCTAGTTAGTTGCAAATCACTGCCAAAATTGTGACAAGGGTTAAGCTAGTATCCTGTAACCAGTGCTCCAACAGGGACACTGCATGATTAAAAGTGCAATAGCCACAGCAGGTATCATTGGGCCCAACCATTGTCAAAGAGTTGGGGGGGTGGGGGAGGGCAATTCAGACCCATGAACTAGTCCTTAGGTATCAACTGTCATGACCGCATTTTTCGACAGTATGATAAATAGCATCAATAATAATTACACATCATAGATCGCAATTTTCACCTCTATTTTCAGAACTTTGTTAAATTTGGGTGTGTGGTGCCGTTTCAATGACCTGAAATGCACTATTATTAAATGCAAGGATTATTTTTATTATTATTATTATGAATTAATGCCCTGACAAACTTCCAGGTTTGATTTATAATAATAATAATTTAATAATAATCCTTGTATTTGATAGAGCACCTCATCACATTTTCGAGATGTCTCAAAGCACTTCACGGGATGTGATGTAAAATGGTGGGACTAATTGTATTTTGAACGCAAATATGGCAGCCAAGTGTGTGAGAACAAATCCAGATTTGAGTACTGTTTGAATACTAATGCAAAGTTCCTACCTCCAGTTATAAACATGCCCGGAGCACTGGGAACCCAAGCTAAACACTGCACTGATGCAGCTGCGCTGGGAAAGCTGAACGTTGTGATGGAGGACAGCGATTCTGAATCAACTAATCGAATTCCATTGTGTAGATTAGCAACCAGCAGGTAGTCAGTGGAGAGAGGATCCCATTCCAGAGCCGTCACTGGATCCTCTTCATCTGTTCCTTCCAGGGATTCTGGCCTCAGTACGTGCTTCTGGCTCTTGCAACCTGATGATGGGAGTGTATCATATTAAACAAAATAACATAATGTTTCTAAACACATTTTTTTTGTTGCAGAAAATAACATTAAATGTACAATATTCAGTGCCCTCCAAAGTTTTAAAAAAAAGTCAAATTATAATAATCCTTGCATTTGTTATTGCGAATTTCACTTCAGGAAGATGTGTCAAGAGTTTCACAGCAACGTGCAGTGTATTTTTTATGTGGGTAAACTCCTCCCTGGTCTGTACTGAGTTAGCAGAACTCAGCCTCATGCCTGTGAATTGAAGATCCCGTGGCACTATTCAAAAAGAGAAGGGTAACGATCTCCCAAATAAAACTGGTCATTCACTTTACGGCTGTCACTGTTGAGTGCAACATCGGAAGCAGCTTTCGCCTTCAGCCACTACACTGTACAGTGGATCCTGTGAAACACTTGAAGACATCCTCCCATCATGAAAGTCGTTCCATCAAATGCAAGTATTATTATTATTTTCTTTATTATTATCATCATATTATATGTGCTAAATAAGTATCTTATAACTCAAAATAAGTCAACTAACATAGCTTGGAAGCTGTGGGGCAATGTTAATGATCGAGGCCTACCGGGCTGAAAGATAGATAGGCTTCCATCCGTGTGGCCAAAGGCCACCTTTCCTTTCTTTTTGGGATGCCACCTGAAGAGACAGATGTCGGACAGGAAGCTGTGCGCCTCTTTATGCACTGCTACCCCATTGTCTGGTCCGGAGATTGTCCAGATGTACAATGGGCCTCGATGAGACACAAACGCCACAGCATCTCTCGAATCCCAACACCAGCTGATTGAAGCAGGAATCCCTGAATAACCATACAGGGTTTAAATGATTTTTGCAAAGCTTGTTTTGCAAACAAATTTCAGCAATGCCTTAAGAGTGAGATAGTAGTTACAAAACAGTTTAGATTAAATCTTCAAACTTTACATTCTCGTATTAGTTTCTCAAAATACATATTCCTTCACCTCTGCCACGTTACCCACTTCTGCCCCTATTTTACACCAAATGTTACCGAAACCCTTAATCACACTTTTGTTCAAGCCCCCGCCCCGCACGCTACCTTGCATAAAGGGCGTTATATAAATGCAAGTTGGTGTTGTGGAAGTTGGTACCTCCCGCCTTGATGTCTCTAACAAACTCTTCATCAGTCTCCCCAGTTCGACCTTCCACAAGTTCCAGCTAATCCCAAATTCCACTTCCTGTAATCTTACCCACACAAACTTTGTACCTGAATCACTCCAATCCTCATCAGGCTCCACCACCTAACAGATCAAGTTCATGTCCTCACTGTTACATATAAATTCTTTATGCATCAGCATCTCCCTATCTTTCTGATCTCCTTGTATCCCACTCCTCTGCCTGTATGCAGCTAATACAGGATTTCTGCGCATCCCCCAACCAAATAGTTCTACAATCAGTGTGTAAACCTTCAGACACTACAGCCATAACCTCTGTAACTCCCTGCCTCTACTCATCCGCCTCAGCCCCTCCAACTTTAAATCCCTCCTTAAAACCAAGTTCTTCGACTATGATTATCTCCCCCTTCCTTTGTCGTTGTTCAGCGTCCAACCCCACCACCACTGTGAACTGCGAGACATTATTCCTACATGAAGGGTTCTATATAAAATAAAAGCAAATCGTTGTTGTTCATTATCTGCTACCAAAACGCAGTTGTCTCCCAGGCACAAAACCAGTGCATAGATAAAAACATAAATGGCACTGCACCTTTTGTATTATCCAGTCTGACTACCACTTTCTGTTCTGCCACGTTCCAAATGATAACAAGGTTGTCTGCACTGGCGCTGGCAAACATGTCAGGGTTGTGAGGATACCAAGAGATGGCTGTGATGGTCTTTTTGTGTTCAGACATGATTGCATAAAGCTTGAATTCATTGTATCTGTGATCAAGCTGAAACATAAGGTGAAGCAAATTAGAATTTTTTTTTAAACCGAGCAAGTGACAATCAAGATAATTTACCTGCCTTTCCCTGGCTGCAAAGAACCAAACTCTGTGGTTTCGCCACATGTGACCCTGCTCACTGACTGCCAGTGACCCAACACCTCGCCTCGGGGATACGTCACAGCTGCAGACCACCTCACTCTCTGCGGGAGATTAGGGATTGGATGATTACCTCCAATTAGGATGTGGTGGATCAGGCCAAAATGTAAATGGAGACTGCTGTGAGAGGAACATTTTACAACACGACAGGGAAGAGATAGATCCCCTGCCTGCAGGGGAGCCATCTTCATTCGCTCAATTGTCCTCCATGCACAAGAAAAGAAAAGGGAAATCACAAAGACCATTTCCTGTTCAACTTTCCATTTTTGGACTTGAAGACTTTTTTTTCTTTCTCAACTGCACCTCCAGGGCTGAAAGAAGCAGTGTAAGAATTAAGCATAACTATTCTTAATATCGTTGAATCATGGAAATTTCAGTACAAAAAGAGGGCCTTCGGCACACTCTTCACTGGAGCAGTAGACTCCAATCCCATTTCCCTACTCTTTCTCCATACTCCTTTTTTTCTTCAAGTATCTTAAATGACGGAATTTACAGGGCTTCAATAGTCACTTGGGTTAATATCTACAATTGTCTACTTGACCGCTTGCTTCCCCACTGCTTGTCCAGCTAGGACCACCAGACTCTTTGGGGCTTTGGCTTGCAGGCTTAAAAGGAATTGAGTGGGAAGAATCGCTGTCCTCAATGGGAGACTGCCCCGCCAGGGCCTGCTAATAATTCAGGTTGACCGATCTGTCATCTGAGTGCCCTGGAGTATTGCAGATCTGCCTGGCTCAGGAACCAGACTTTCGAGACTGCCACAGAGGGTTGACTCGATTCCGACACTCTGCTCCCAAGCACGTCATCTTCAACACTCCACCTTCATACACGAAAAACAAGTAGGTTCACGCAGGTCAGCACAAGTTGGAGATGGGAAAATTACAAACCAAATCTTATTTTCCTGAACTCTTTGGCTCACTCACTGTCAGTACTTAGCCTCACCTGATAAATATAAATAGCCAATGTGGCACAGTATGCAAATCTGTCTCCATTGGCAACACAGACATCTTTGTTCCATGGCTGACATCCAGCAGCCAAAAGGCCGACCTGTTTAACCTGCGACATCTTCACCTGCAAAATTAGAATTCAACATTGTCAATCAGAAGCCACTTAACTCCATTTATCAATATTCAAAAATAAATATTCTTCTTCTCAGCAGCAGTGAAATGCCGATTGTGGAAACCATAAATCCCTTTAACGGAATGAGACAAATGCTTGAAAAAGAGGAACATTAATATTGATAATAATCCTTCCATTTGGTAAAGCACATTTCATATCAGAAGGACGTTTCAAAGTGCTTCACACGATTTACTGTAATGTGGAGTGACTGTGTATTTGTAAACAAACTCAGCAGCCCATTTGTGCAAGGCAACATACCACAAACAGCCATGAAATGAATGAGTGATTTTATTTGAGAGATTGTTGGCCAGGACACTGGGAGAAACTGTCTTCTCTTTATGAACAGTGCCATGGGATCTTTAAGGTCCACTTGAACAGGCAGTCGGGACCTCGGTTTAACGTCTCATCTGTGGGATAGCAGCTCTGACAATGCAACACACCCCCAGCACTGCAACTGGAATGTGATCTTAGACTATGTGAGTTCAAGTACCGATGTAAACTTTTTGGTAGTTAACATTCTGACTCAGATGCGAGATTATTACTAAGTGATCCAGGCTGACGCCTATTTAATAATATTAAAGGGCATTCAGGAAGGTGGGATTATATTAGGTGACTCTTGTGGAGAAAAGCTCGAATGCAGACATGACGGACCTGTCACGGTCATCTTGCTTTGAATGCTCTACCTCTTTTTAAGGATATTACTGTAGATAGTTTGTGTACATAGTTTGTGTAAAATAAGACACTTTCGCTTTAAGGGACCAGAGTATAATTTTAAAATGGTAAGGACAGCTTTGGTGACTCGAAGTATGTGACCTGGGTGAGTGTTGTAACATAAAAGATGGGAAAGGATTACGTGGGTCCTGGGGCGAGAATCTACTGATACATTGGAAGTGGAGGAGTTTGGAAAATATAAAAGGAGTTTATTAAACTTTTCGGGGTTTATTAAACTCAGGGTCACTCTTTGCCTTTGGTGTCATCAAGGAGGTATGTGCCTGACCTGAGAGCTTTGCCTCCAGATCAAGATTGTTTTTCCTTTGTCAACTAACTTTGGGTAAAGTTGCAATGTCATAGTTATAGTGTCAGGGTTTTTCTGTTTCTTAACGTTGTGACCGTTTCTCATGTTTCCGGGCAGTGTTACTGAAGGTTTAATTACCAAACACTGTTGAGATTTCTATGCAGTGCTTCTCAAGTCTATTAAATTTAAGGAGGGAGGGAAAACACAAACAGGTTACTGTGGAAGTCAGATGTCTAGTAGTGCGAAGGACACTGATGAAAGCAATAAGTTGTTGTGCAATAAGGATTACCTGTCATCGTGTGTACATTCTCATTAATGGAGTTTCACTCAGAAAGGGAACTTCCACGATACAGAGAAGGGATCTAAACAGAAGCCACAAAGTACACCAGGCGCTCTGTCATAATATGGGTATACAATTAGGGGTGAGAACCATCTCAGTCCAATTGTCTTATTTCTGTACTGTAACGTTCTGATTCAATTATATAGTTGATATGTAGTTAAAGCAAATATGATGCAAATGGAAGGTTATATGATCCAGTCAGCAGGAGGGAAGGAAAATCAACACCACAATATTGACAGCCTTTATCATTACCTCTCCCCCGATTGCCAAGACCCTCATCATGCTTTCATTACTGCCTGGCTCAGTAGTAGAACTCTCGCCTCTGAGTCAGAAGGTTGTAGGTTCAAACCCCATGTCGGGCCATGGAATCACATAGTCTAAGATGACACTCCAATTCAGGGGGGGTGTTGCATTGTCAGAGGCTCATGATCATTAAGCCATGACCGAGCTCTGTTAAACCACAAAATCTATTATAATGCATACTATAATGCATATAATATTCACTTAATATCCCAACATTTTTTCAACAGCTTCCAAACCTATATAAGAAATAATATAACATATAGCAAGCAAATTAGTTTTCCAGATCCCTTGCACTTCTGTAGATGTGCAATATAATGGTTTGCTCTGGAAATGAACAAAATGTGGTTTTATTTGTGCAATTGCTCAGTAGTTTGAGAAAGGCAATAAATTAGACTTCTTTTGAAAAATGTGCTAAGGCAGAAATATTGTTAGAATTAATCTGAGTGTGACCAGAATGTGGGCTGGTTTCTCATTTTTCTCTCATCCCTTGTCACCTCAAGGCTCGACTTCAGAAACTCCCTCCTTGTCGGCCTCCCCAACTCTTCCCTCCACAAGCTGCAGATCATCCAGAACTCTGCAGCTCATGTCCTCTCCTCACCAGGCTCCATGACCCCATCACCCCCACCCTCACCCGACTCCACTGGCTCCCCATCCCCCAGACGATAGAGTTCAAAATCCTCTTCCTCACTTTCAAGGCCCTCCATGGCCTTGCCCCTTCATACCTCTCTGATCTGCTAAGCCCTTATCAACCTGTCCCCTGACTCAGTTCAGCGGGCTCCGGCCTGCTCCATATCTCTCACCTGACCTGTCCTACTATTGGCGGCCGGGCTTTCAGCTTCTCTGCCCCCACCTTCTGGAACTACATTCCACAATCCCTTCACCTTGCTCCCTCCATTGCCTCCTTCAAGGTATGACTCAAGACCCTCCTTTTCAACAGTGCCTTCAGCCGCCCTCCTCCCTCCTACGTAATCTTGCCTTAAGCAAGAGTTGAGAGCATTTCAAGAAATAAACCAATTTAGAGTGGTAGATGGCATTTATATGTTTGCTTTAAAGTAACACTCAATGGGACAAGTGCAATGAAGCACGTGCAGAGAACTAAGGTTTTCAAGAGCTGGGAGGGCGACCAGCAACTTAATAACTTCAAAAAGTTCTGGATCAGTCCAATTGCATGTTAAAGGTGATATTTTTGAGTCGAGTTCAAACTCAGTTGACCTTCCATTTCTGTGCTGCAGTGATGTGAACTTCTCCCTGGGTTTTTAACCAACGGGCTCCATTGTCATTACGTTCAGCAATACAAACTCAAATTTCATTTATACTCTGATTTTTGCAGCATGCTATTTAACCACAAGTAGTGCAATATAAATAGATAATAAATAATATAATTTTTTCTTTTTCTTGCTTTCACGTTAAAAGATTTTTAAGACTTAAGACAAAATAAATTGCAACACTTGGGAGGCTATTTAGTTAAATTATTTTTGTGAACAAAGCTTTGTATGTTTTAAATAATCGATATTCGAAATACAAACAGCATATAATAATTCTTGCATTTGATATAGCACTTTATCATGCCATTGAAATGCATCACAGAATTTTACTGTAAAGTGTCAGGATTGTGCATTTATAGATAAACTCAGCAGTCAATTTGCACATACCAATGACACACAAACTGCCATGAAGTAAATAACCAATTTTATCAGGGAGATTGCTGGCCAGGACACAGGCAATTGATCAAATAGTGCCATTGGATCTTTAACATCCATCTGTACAGGCGAACAGGATCTCGGTTTAGTGTCTCATCCGAAAGATGGCACCGCTAACAATGCTGCACTTCCCGAGGCAGTGCACTGAATTTTTAGCCTAGAATATGAGCTCAAAGTCTTGAACCCCCAACGTTCTGAGCCAGACTGACAGCAAATCAGAGGTACAATAAGCTTCATGGCCCTAAAAATACTGTCTTAAATTCAGTCATAATTTGAAAGCCGCTTTTCCCTCGTTCCTAAGGGCTAAGAATTTGTGCAATTTCAAGCCTCAGGTGTTGGAAAGTACAAGGGCTTTACTGTAAGTACATGAAAATTCTCTCCTTTATAACATTTATTTGTCCTCGTAATACAAGGATTATGATTGTTAATCTGATAAACTGCTTCATTCTTGTGGCCCCATTAGACAGGGTATATAGAGCTCCAATAATGCACATTAAAGAGCCTGAAGCTCTCCTTGGAAATAAAGGCATCTTTCTTTGTAACTCTTATCATTAACTACCACTGGCAGAGAGAGATTCTCAAAAAAAATACAATCCGTGTTTAGTAAAACAGGATTATTGTACTTGGGACTTATATATTGCCTGCAGTACTGAGTCTACCAGACACATTTGGTAAAAATTTGAAGTGATCATTTCATTTTAGATGTGTACTATGTTTAAAATATAGATTTGTGGAGTCCTGTAGCTCAGTGGTTAGAGCACTCGCCTTGCAAGCGAGACACTTGGTTTCAATTCCAGGCAGGGCGAAACCTTGGGCAAGTTTTCTTACTCCACACGCCTAATAATAATCCCTCCAAAAAACAAACACAATAATACATTGGTCATTTTCAATCCACGACTGTTTGTGGGACACTGCTATACGCAATTGGCTGCTGCGTTTGCCCACAAATATACGGTCAATTCACTTTACAGTCTATTCTGTGAAGCGCTTTGAGACGTCGAGAAGACGTGAAATGCAAGGATTATTATTATTATATTATTATAGATTTGGTCCCTTGTACTGCTATTCTAAAGTGCATTTATTATAGTCCCTTATCACATTGTCACTATGTCTCAAAGCGTTCTACAGGATATATTGTAAAGTGATTTTACTGTGTATTTTGTGGGCAAAACAATATCCCACAGACATGCATGAAACAAATGAACAATTTTATTTGGGAGATTTGTTGGCCAGGACATCAGGAGAAACTCCCCTCTCTTCTTGAATAGTGCCATGGCATCTTTAACATCCACCTGTACAAGCAGTCAGAACCTCAGTTTAATATCTCATCAAAAGGACGGCACCTCATTGGAGTGCCAGCTTAGACAAAGTGATTCCAAGTCCAATGTGGGATTTGAAACCATAAACTTCTGAGTCAGAGGCAACAGTGCTGCCATGGAGCCAGTCTGGAAGGAAATAAATAAAACGTTTACAATATAGAAATGGGTAATTCTGCCCAACTAGTTTGTGCTGTGTTTATTTTCTGAACAAGCCTCCAACCTTCCTAACCTCCTCTTCCAGAATCCTCTATTATCTCTCACTCTCAGAG